TGCTACTCTCTCCTGGCGTGGCCAGATGCAGCTCCAGCGCCGTCCGCGTGAGTCCCTCGCCCCCCAACAGCTTCGTGAGTGGTACGCTAGTTGGGGTTGTAGGGGTGGCCGCGCTGCGACTACTGCTATTGCTACTGCTGCTACTACTGCGGCTACCACTGCTCCTGCTGCTCCTGGCGGTGGCCAGATGCAGCTCCAGCGACGTCCGCGTGAGTCCCTCACGCCCCAGCAGCTTCGTGAGTGGTACGCTACTTGGGGTTGTCGGGGTGGCCGTAGTGGGAGTCGTCCTGGAGTGAGTAGTTCGGCAGCTGCTTGTAGTGGCCAGGTGCAGCTGCAGCGTCGTCCGTAGCGCGGTCCTTTCACCCCAGCAGCTTCGTGAGTGGTACGCTCAGCGTGACGGGTCACGGGGTACTGCGCGCTGTCCGTACGTCATTCGCAACTGGTGCTCGGACTGGTCAGCCTTGCGGGACGTTTTGGTCACGCAGAGTCCCGCTGCTTCGCCCGTCTGAGCGACGCCTGGCGTACGGGATTTTGGCGACGTGGCTGAGCTCCCCGACTGGGTGGAGCTGCTTAGGCTTGAGGGTAGATATCTATACTCTTGACTATGATGCTATCCTCACTGCCATGTATGCATTGCCTACTAGTGATGAGGGTGACTGTTACTGTGTGTTTCCGCCTGACCCGGGCATTGAGACTGCTGCTCTAGGTGCTGGTGAGGCTGCTGCTCTAGGTGCTGGTGAGGCTGCTGCTCTAGGTGCTAGTGAGTCTGCTGCCCCAGGTCGCTGGTGAGTCTGCTCTCTTAGGTACCACGTCGGCTCAGGCCCTCCCACACCTTCACCCTTGACTCGGGTGCTTCCCGCTCCTTCTTTCGAGACCGCACCACACTCACGCCGCTTAGTCGGCCAGTTGCGGTCTCCCTGGCAGACCCCTCTGGGGGTCTTGTCCTTGCCCACTTCTCCACTGTCTTACCGTGTCCGGCGGCCCCTTCTGGCACCCTGTCCTGGTCTTTACCTCCCCTCGTTCTCTACGAACTTGGTGAGTGGTGCTGATCTACAGGATGGGGGGGTTCACCAGTTCAGTCCTGCGAGTCAGCGAGTGACCCACTGCACGTGTGCTCGGACGGGCCGACACTTGGCCACGTTTACCCGTCGGCCGGGGTCGAGCCTGTACACACTGACTACTGGGTCTCCTCCGGTTTGCTGCGTCTGGTCAGGTAGCTGCGTCGGGTCAGGTATCTGCTGCGGCGTCCAGGTCTGGTCCTGAGTCTGCCCCCTGCTCGTGTCGTCTCCTGTCTCACTTGACTCTCCTCTGGCACCACCGCCTTGTCACCCCTCCCTGCCTCGTCTCCGAGGCATGGCCTCCCGTGTCCTTGTCTCTGGTCTCCCCCCGGTCCCTCCCTCCTCTTCCTCCAGGGCCTGCCCCTACCTGCGTTCCCTGCGTCGAGGGGCTGGCAGCGCGCTGCTCCTCACTCCTCCGAGTTTCCTCCGACAGAGGCTCCACTGCAGACGCTTCACATGGACGTGTGGGGCCCAGCCCGCGTCCGTAGACAGGGTCACGAGCGTTACTTTCCTGCTGGTGGTTGACGACTACTCGCGTTACACCACCGTCTTCCCCTTGCGCAGCAAGGGTGAGGTCACTGGGGTGTTGATCGACTGGATCCGCGCTGCTCGTCTCCAGCTCAAGAGAGTTTTGGCTCTGACTTTCCTGTTCTGCGTCTGCACTCCGACAGAGGCGGAGAGTTCTCCTCTGACCTTACTGCGAGCCTTCTGTCGTGCACAGGGCATCCGCCAGACGTTCATGCTTCCGGCCTCTCCACAGCAAAATGGGATTGCTGACGCGCCGCATTGGCATGGTCTATGGACGTCGCTTCGTACGTCCATGATCCATGCGGCTGCCCCCCATTTTCTTGTGGCCGTTCGCGGTTCAGTACGCGGCGCATCAGATCAACCTTGAGCCCCGGGTCTCCATGCCGGAGACCTCCCCTGCTCTGCGGGTGGACGGGGAAGGTTAGCGATGCGTCTGCGTTCCGTGTTTGGGGATCCCGGGCGTTTTGTCCGCGACTTGTCTGCGGACAAGCTGTCCCCCCCGTGCTGTTCCCTGCGTCTTCCTGGCTTCCCCCCTGACGCGCCTGGTTGGCAGTTTTACCACCCCACCTCGCGCCGTGTTCTGTCCTCCTCAAGACGTCACGTTGACGAGTCGGTTCCCTACTACCGTCTCTTCCCCTACCGCACTGCGTCCCTCCCCCCGCCGCCGCTCTTCCTCGCGCCAGGTCCCCCCCCGGTAGACCCCCTCCCCCCTCAGGGTCCTGCCCCCTCAGGTGTGTCCCAGGTAGACGCAAGTCGAAGCCTGTCGAGGTAGCTGTTGACTCTGGTGCTGCTGGGGGTGCGGGGCCTGGGGGTGCTGAGCCTGGGGGTGCTGACTCTGGGGCGCTGAGACTGGGGGTGCTGAGCCTGGGGTTGCTGATCCTGGGGGTGCTGAGCCTGGGGGTGTGGAGCCTGGGGGTGCTGAGCCTGCTCGTGTGGCGTCTCGAGGGACTGGGCCTGGTGGTCCTTCGGGTGCTTCATCCCGGCGAGAGTTACTCTCTCCACAGGAGCTGCGCGAGTGGTTTGCTCGGCGTTGGAGCCGTACTGCTGGAGCTGGAGGTGCTGCTGGTGCTGGAGGTTCTACTGCTGCTGAGGGTGCTGGTGCCACGGGTCCCGGAGGTGCTCGTACTGGAGGTACTGGAGCTGCTGGACCTGCGGGTACTCCTTCTGCTGGAGCTGGAGCTGGAGCTGCTGGGGGTGTTGGCGCTGGAGGTGCTGCTGGTGCTGGTGCTTCTGAGGGTGTTGGTGTTGGTGCTGCTGGAGTTGGTGCTGCTGGCGCGGCTGGAGCTGGGGGTGCTACTGGAGCTGGAGCTGCTGGCGCTGCTGGAGCTGGGGGTGCTACTGGAGCTGGTGCTGCCGTTCGTGGTGCTGGCGCTGTTCCTGCTGGTTCTGGGGGTGCTGCACGGCCGCGGCCGTACTTCGTTCCGCTCCTTGAGCAGGTTCTTGGTCTTCCGCCCTCTACTAGTCCTGCTCCTCTCTTAGAGTGTCCGCCGCCTGTCCAGTCTGAGTCACAGTTACAGCCAGCCTCCCCACTGCCTGCTCCTTCTCCCTACACTGGTCCTACTGGAGGTCTTGCTGAGCGTCGTGAGCCTGCGTCTCGTCCTGCGTCGCCTGTCCGTGCTGCTCGCACTAGTGGTCGTGGTTCGCGTCCGCGTCCTCCCCCTGTCCCCGGCACGCACCGGATGTCTCTGCGTCCTTCCACTGCTCCGCTGCGTGCCCCTTTGCCTTCTCCTCCTGAGTCCTCTCTTCCTGCTCTTGCTGACCCAGAGTCTGACTCCCTTCGTGCTGCCAGTCCTACTGTCACGCGTCTCCTTGCTACTGTCGTCACAGACCCTTCCTTCGAGTCCACTGCTGCGTCTGCCTTAGTTGCTGAGCTTGTCGACTTTGCTGCTCGCTGTCGTCTAGACTACGCTGCTAGTCTTGTCGCTGAGTCTGAGTCTGTCTGTCCTCCGTCCGTCGGGGGTGAGTGTGCCCTTGGCACGGACGTCCTTGAGGACAGGCAGGAGGAGTTCCAGTGCTTTGCTGCTGCTTCACCTCATCTCGTGTCCATGCTGCTGGCCCTGAGGGAGACCCGGATGCACCAGACATCCCGACTCCGCGCTCTTACGCGGAGGCGATAGAGGGTCCCTACTCCTCTCAGTGGCAGGCAGCCATGGACGCAGAGATGGCTTCCTGGAAGTCCACAGGCACATACGTCGACGAGGTTCCCCCACCTGGGGCGAACATCGTCAGTGGCATGTGGATTTTCAGGGTGAAGCGGCCGCCGAGTTTCTCCGCCTGTCTTCAAGGCGCGTTACATGGCTCGAGGCTTCAGTCAGCGGCAGGGAGTTGACTACTTTCAGACCTTCTCTCCCACCCCGAAGATGACCACTCTTCGAGTGCTACTGCACATAGCCGCTCAGCGCGACTACGAGCTTCACTCTCTTGACTTCAGCACTGCTTTCCTACAGGATAGCCTGCACGAAGAGATCTGGCTGCGCCGCCCACCTGGCTTCACTGGGTCTTTTCCTCCTGGCACCCAGTGGAGCCTCCGGCGCCCAGTCTACGGTCTCCGCCAGGCACCTCGTGAGTGGCACGACACACTGAGGACTACACTTGCGGCTCTTGGGTTTGCTCCTTCTACTGCTGACCCGTCGCTGTTTCTGCGCACCGACACCTCTTTGCCGCCGTTCTACATCCTCGTGTACGTCGACGACTTGGTCTTTGCCACAGCTGACACTGCTGGACTCGCCCAGGTGAAGTCCGAGCTGCAGAAGAGACACTCGTGCACAGACCTGGGTGAACTGCGCAGCTACCTTGGCTTGCAGATCACCCGGGACAGAGCACAGCGCACCATTACCCTGACTCAGTCACACATGGTGCAGCAGGTCCTTCAGCGCTTCGGCTTCACGTACTCCTCGCCACAGGCCACTCCTCTGTCTACTCGCCACTCGCTCTCAGCTCTGCCTTCGGATGAGTCCGTAGAGCCGAGTGGCCCGTACCCAGAGCTTGTTGGCTGCCTCATGTACCTGATGACCTGCACACGACCTGACCTTGCATACCCTCTCAACATTCTGGCACGCTATGTTGCTCCTGGGAGACACCTCCCTGAGCACATGGCTGCAGCGAAGAGGGTGTTGCGCTACTTGTGCAGTACGTCGGGCATGGGGCTAGTGCTTGGAGGGCGGAGTCCAGTGGTCCTCACTGGTCACGCAGACGCGTCTTGGGTTGACGACTTGGCTGCGCAGCGGTCGTCACAGGGTTACACCTTCAGCCTTGGTTCCGGTTCTGTTTCGTGGCGGTCTACCCGCTCGTCTTCTGTTCTCAACTCGAGCTGTGAGGCTGAGATCTACGCAGGGGCCATGGCTGCACAGGAGCTACGCTGGCTCACCTACCTGCTGACTGACCTTGGAGAGCCGCCTCGTTCTCCTCCAGTTCTGTACGTAGACAACAAGGCCATGCTGGCCTTGTGTCGGGAGCACAGACTGGAGCACAGAACGAAGCACATTGCTCTTCGCTACTTTCTTGCTCGTGAGCTGCAGCAGCGTGGTCAGCTGCGCCTTGCTTACGTGGCCTCTGAGGCCAACACTGCTGATATCTTTACCAAGGCACTTCCGCCTTGTGATCATCAGCGCTTCTGTACGATGCTAGGTCTTGTGCCTACTTGGCCTCACTTGCTCACTTCTTGACCTTGCTTGTACTGTGATCTTTCTATACCTGCACTTGCTTGTTTACCTTTATATATGATCTTGCATGTGAACTGGCCTTGTGGCCTTGAACTTGTGCTCGGAATGTGTGGTGACGTTGTGATCCACCCTGAGCTTGCTTTGCTTTGCTTGACTGGTCTTGTGACCTCTTGTTCTCCCCCACTTTGCCTATGGGGGTGTGTCAAACTCATATGCTATAGTCTGTGTAGGCTGTAGTGGGGTAGACAATATGGGGTACAACACTTTTAGGTTTTCCTACTTGTACCCACCTGCTTGCTAGTTCACTCATCCCTCGTTCTTTCACAAGCTGGACATATATAATACGGAGATAACTCGATCAACGGGAGCTAGTCTATGGTCTAGGCACGGGGTAGGAGTGATCCCTGCGTTTGTTCCTTTGTCGTTTGCTTGTGCTTGCACTACTTGCTCGTTCACAGGGAGGTTTGGCAAGAGTTTCGCTAGCAAAAGTTCACAAAAAAATGGTTCAGAATGATAGCAACAAAGTTGGCAAAGCTGACTACATCAGAGCTAGCAAGAATGCAGGTCGACTGCCAGCGCAGCACGGTCGACCGCGTTCCAGCACGACAAGGTCGACAGCGCTCCAGCAGAGCAAAGTCGCGGTCTGCCAATGGTGCAAGTCGACGGCGTGCCAATGCTGCAGCAAGGCGGCTGCATAGCATTGCACCCGCAGGACAGCAGCGCACCCATTTCGCAGGCGCTCGCAATTGATTGGCGTGCTGTTCCTCGTCACCCGCACAGTGCAGACACCAAGTCGTCTATGTGCTGTCGACTGCACCTGAGAAGCCACATCGACCTCGGGATACCACCTCCGAGGTCGACTTCGCCAGAACCACCTGGGCGACCGTCGCGTGCCTTAGCAGAACCTCGTCACCTAGATAACATGGTCGACCCGGATACCACTAGGTTGGTGTCGTATGCTTCCGCAGAACCTCGTCACCAAGGTAACTTGGTCGACCTGAATATCACCAGGTCGGCGTTGACTTCCTCGGGGAAACTCGACCGAATGCTATACGTGCTCGTCGACCACCGAAGTCGACGACCACCCGCCGATTTCACCAAGTCGGTCATCCTACAGGTCGGCCCAAGTTGGTGTCGCCCACTGCTGCAGGTCGGCTGTACCTCCCACTCACCCGACCACGAAGTTGGCTCCGCCCAAGCGAGGACGGGGCCAACCACAACTTCCGTTGACATACGTTTCACAAATCCTGATAACGACGTATTGCATATCCCCTCCCCTTGGCGCATGTTGGTGCGATGTGGCGCACCAGATTTATAATGTAAGAGGTCGCACCAATATGGTGGATCTGCTTGAACCAGGTTACGCCAAAGCGCACCAGTGCGATGTGGTGTACCATGTCACATTTGCGCGCAGCAATTGCTTGCAAAGTTTCCACCAATACATACCAACTTGTCCCCAATATTTGAATTGGAAATATGGCAATCAGAAGAATCGCAAGCCCATTCAGTTTTGCAACTTCGTCACCGCGCCGCATACCCATCTTGTACAAAGCAAACAAGAAAACCTCATTCATAAACAAAGCTCAACAGTCATGAAGTAACCATGAACATAAGAGATTAGCAAATTAGCTTCAAAACAGATTGAATAAGAAGCTGATAGCAGGAAATACCACAACGGCCTTCTGCTAAATGAGCCTAGTCAAGCTCTTACTAGCGAACCACACGTGCATATAGCGGGTACTCCCAGAACATGCAATTTGGATGTCGACAAACCCTAGGTCAGATTATCTCAAGGCTGCTCAGGTTGTAGTCCCAAGATATAGCTGTCCTCGGCGACTCCTAGGCTCAGGCAGTCCCTGGAGAGCCGCAACACGCACACTCAGTCTAGTGTTCATTAGGTTCCGGAACTTCTCCTAGTTGTTCTTAAGTTTGACCTGGGTGTAAGAGTAGTCGATGTTAACAAAGGTCTTAAGTTTGACCTGGGTTAATTTATCTGCAGATGTTCCGGTTCAGTGACTGGAAAGGTAAAGACTACAATCGATGCCTGTCAAGATTGGTGCGGCACAATTTCTGGTTTGTAGCCATTGATGTTTTAGAAACTCCACCCATCCCTACCTGAACGTCGGTGCGCTCGCCTGGTCAGAACTCCGTTTTTGCTGTTTTCTGATTATATTTTGGATAGTTCACTTAACAGCTGTCCTGATTGCAACTCTGCTCGTGCATAATGTCGTCATGTCGCCAATGCTCTTCCCCATCGGGATTAGCTTGACAGATTGGCGGTATTGCCGACCCACCATGGTCTAACCACATCCTCGCTCGAAACTGACAACAACCAGGCACCATCGCTAACATTGCTAGTCGGTTTGACGAGTTAGCGGTGCCGGTCGGTACCACGGCGGTGCTGATCGGTACCACCTCGGTGCTGGTCGGTACCACAAGTTAGCAGTGCCGGGGTTGCAGCGGTACCGTCATGGATGTCAAGCCCGTGCTGACCAAATGCGCGGGGAAGCGGTGGGAAAGCATCGGTTCCGCATCAACAACCTCTCCACCGCAGCCGGCCACTTCTCACCCACAACCAGCCACCTCGCACCCACACCTATCCGATTCAGCGAATTCCGACTCTGAAAGCAGCAAACCAAGCCGATCTCTCCTGTCCATTTTCCAGCGGGCGAAAGTTGGTGGTGGTAGCACCAGCACTGGTGGTGGTAGTCCTGCTCGCGGGACTGCTGGAGCCTCGGGAGGAGCAGCCTCGGGAGGAGCAGCCGCAGGCAAGAAGAAGGAAAGCAGATCGCCGGAGAGTAGCAATAGTCGTATCCCCGTTATAAGTTCTGCTCATTCCCGGTATACAGACGGAGCGAGTGAGGATGCGTCGCCGCAAGCTGCTAGGCCGCGGGGAGCAGGCACTGCGTCAGAACCGGTTGAAGACTATGCAGTTCCAGGCGGTAGCTCGCGCCCTTCCAGCGGTAGCAGCGCCAGCAACAGCACCAGCAACAGCACCAGAAACAGCATCAGCGACAGCACCTGGAACAGCACCAGCGACAGCAGCAACAACCCCTCCGTCTCCGGCAGTAGTGGTGCCTCCTCGCGGTTCTCTCTCTCCCCGCCTCGAGATCCGTACGGGGACGCGCGAAAGATCAGCAACCGCTACTGCGTCTGGGACGATCGGCAGAAGGTCTGGTACCGCTTCGAGGGCCAAAGCAGAGTGTACTGGAAAGTCGCAGCTGGCAAATCGCCTCAGGAGGGCGAATGGGTCGCACTGCCTTATGAAGACGAACGACCGAAGGTGGACCTGGTCAGTAAACCGGGTTTCAACGCGCCTGTACGAAGCTCCACGCGTGGCATTAGTCGGACAGCAAGCGGAGACGGCGGCGCGGGGAAGAGCAGCGCGGGTGCGGAGGACGGGGAGAGGCGGAGGCGGCCGGATTCTATGTCAGGCGGGGGTCGGGGGGGTAGTGACTCCGCCAACGCGTGGAGTTTCGTGAAGGAGCAGGAGCTTACGACGGACACGGAGCAGGAGCTGAAGGCGCTGCAAGCAGGCCCGGACCCCAGCCTCGCGTCCTTGCATGTGTCCAAGTCCTTTCCGCCGGAGGTGGGCAAAGCAGCAGCGGCGAGCGCGGCAGGCGCGGTGGGGGGGAGGGGGAACCTGGGGAACCTGCAGCCGCTGCCAGTCGCGCCCCCTACCGTGCCATCTGGCGCGTCTTCTCCGCGCAGCGGCCCCTCCACGCCGCCTGAACCATCAGCCATGGGAGCTGCAGGAAGAGGAGGATTAGGAGGATTAGGAGGATTAGGAGGAGCAGGAGGATTAGGAGGAGCAGGAGGAGCAGGGCTGTACGGTTCTTCCCCTTCGAAACAGCCGTTGGAGCACAGGTCTCCCCATCCGCACATCGTGTCGCCAGACAGACGGGGTCAAGCCTCCAACCCCCTGCCCCTCCCTCCCGCCAGACAAGTAGGCGCGCTGGGCTCAGGACCAATGGCCGTGAGAATGGAAGCACCGGCGCCAGGTGTAGGCCCAGGTGTAGGGTCAGGTGTAGGGTCAGGTGTAGCAGCAGCACCAGGGCCTGTCCGCGCGCTCTTCCCCGTGCATTCCTCCCCTTCCCGGGACCTCGAAGCCGTTTCTGTGAACCATCCGCCGTCTCACGAGGCTCCGCCGTCAATCCTCGTAGGTCGAGGAGCAGCAGGGGGCGCGGGCGGTGCTGCTGCTGGTGCTGGTGGCACCGGTGGTGCTGGCGGGTTTGGTCGTGCTGATGGTGGGTTTGGTGGTGGTGATGGCGGTGGGTTTGGCGGTGGTGGGGGAAGTGGGGATGTTAGTCCTCTCGCGCGAGGGAGGTCCGTGTCTACATCTGGAGCGCCCGGTGGCGGATCTCAGGGGCACAGCCCGCGGACTCCCGCGCCCTCTCCTATGGATGGAGCTGTAGCAGCTGTAGCAGCTGTAGCACCTGTTGCGTCCGCTTCAGCTGGCACTTCGCCGTCTGGCCGCCACAGAATGTCCCCGCCAGCAGGAGTGCCCTTTGGTGCTCCGCCTGTTGCCGGGAACCCTGCTGCGTTGAATCGGCAAGGAAGTGGAGGGGTGGGTGGGGGATTCGGAGGAGGGATGGGCGGGAATATGGGCAGAGGAATGGGAGGAAGCATGGGCGGAGGAATGGGAGGGAACATGGGCGGAGGTATGGGGGGAGGAATGGTCGGAGGAATGGGGGGCAACATGGGCGGTGGTATTGGGGGAGGAATGGGCGGAGGAATGGGGGGAGGGATGGGGGGAGGACTGGGCGGAGGAATAGGGGCAGGAATGGGGGGAGGAATGGGCGGAGGGATGGGCGGGGGCGGAATGGGGGGAGGGCTGATAGCAGGAGGAATGACGCCACCAGGGGGCATGATGACGCCACCAGTAGGAGGTATGGCAACCCCACCCGCTAGCAGCTCCAAGCTCTCAACTCAATCTGCATCCCCCTTCCGAATCAAACCTCTCGTGCCCAAGCTCGAGCCCCTCCCAATTCCCACCACCAAATCCCCCGTTGCCTCCCCCAGAGCCGCCACAGACAGGCCGCCGCTGCCCTTTGAACCTTCTCAGAACCCACAGAATCCGATGTTTCCCAAGTCGGCAAGCCAAACGTCCACCCCCGGCCAAGTGTCGAGAGTCGGCTCGATGAATGATGGGCACGGGAGGGATGTTGTCGGGCTGCCCGGAGGAGCAGGGTTCGGGCAGCATTTCGGGCAGCCGCAGCCAGGGCAGCAAATAGGTCAACAGTTTGGGCAGTCAGGGCAGCAATCAGGGCAGCAGTTGGTTCAGCAATCAGGTCAGCCGTTTGGGCAGCAGTCAGGGCAGCAGTCAGGGCAGCAGTTAGGGCAGCCGTTGGGGCAGCAGGTGCAGCAGCAGCTGGGGAGAGAAGGCATGCTTCCCTGGCAGCAATTTCCCAAATCATCCAGTCAAAGTTCAAACCCCGACTCTTCCCAACCATGGCACCAGCAGCAGCATCAGCAGCATTACCAACAGCAGCAGCAGCCGCAACAGCAGTACCCGCAACAGCAGTTTCAGCCACCGCCGTTCCCCCGAACCTCCAGCCAAACCTCTTCCCACTACCCAACCTCCCCAGGCCAGGCGTCCACCCCTGGAAACCTCTCCAGGGGAGGTTCCACTAACGAGGGCTCCATGCTCGTGCCTCCAGGTGGCTCTCCTATAGTCACAGCAGCAGGCGCTGGAGCAGAAGGTGCTGGGGATGAGGAGGGGGACGGGTGGGTGCCTCAGAGGGGAAGGTGGAAGAAGGGCAGCAGGATAGGGTCGGGAGGATTCGGGTCCGTGTACAAAGGAAGCGACATGTAAGTGTTTCTTAAGACATCTCGATAATTTGTCTCATGGATTGGGTCGAAGGGAGTTGGGTCCGTGTACAAAGGAAGCGACATGTAAGTGTTTCGAGGCAGCTCTGATGCTGGTTCAATCCCTCTGTTCCTTTGGTCCTGTCAAGGCGTTCTACGGAAGTCCATTCAAGTCAAGTCAGGTCAACTGTTCCGCGATTGCTTATTTTCCATTTTTCTCCTGCGGGCATCTACAGAATGCCTCGTTCTCGTATCTCTTTTCTCATTCAAGCATTCAGGAGAGAATAACGTTGACTCCTCCTCCCTCACATCTTACATGCCACGTGCTCGTCTGTCTCCCTGATCGCACACAAACACGTTTCTCCCCCTTGTTATATTTGTCTCATCCGCAGAGATACATCACGTGTGTTTGCGGTCAAGGAGGTCAATATCTCGGCTCGGACCATAAGTCGATCTCCCCACCCGCCCCACAGCAAGCACCCATGTCTTTCTCTCCCTCCCCTCCATGCTACCTCGTCTCATCCACAGAGATACATCACGTGTGTTTGCGGTCAAGGAGGTCAATATCTCGGCTCGGACCATAAGTCGATCTCCCCCCCCCCCCCACAGCAAACACCCATGTCTTTCTCTCCCTCCCCTCCATGCTACCTCGTCTCATCCGCAGCGATACATCACGTGTGTTTGCGGTCAAGGAGGTCAATATCTCGGACCACAACTCTATCTCTCAGCTCGTGCAGGTGCGTGGCAGTGGCATTTTGGGCAATGTGTGCATGTGTGTGAGAGGAAGGTTGGGTGTGGGTGTGGGCGGGTGGGTGGATGTGGGTGTGGGTGGGTGTGGTGGGTGTGGGTGTGTGGGTGAGTGGTGTGGGTGGGTGCATGCACGCACATGCAGGTGTGCTCGCACATATGTCTGTCTGGGCCCCTGAACATGCTTGCTCAGACAAAAGCTGCTGCGCCTTCCATTTTCTCATCCGTTTTTGCAATTCTCTCTCTCCCAATCCCCCAACCTCCCCTCCCCACTCCCACCCTACCTGCTTTCACCATCCCACAATTCTCACACTCTCTCATACTCGTGCATGTGCACATAGTGCCCACATGTGCGTGGACGTTTTGAGGCCCATGCGTGCATAGCACACTCGCACACACAGATGCACACATGTTGCACTCTCACTTCAAGGATTTTTCCACCTCACTTTTCCCTCGTCCTCTTCCCCTTCCACTTTCTCCCCTCACTCTCCACTTAACCTCACTCCCCCTCACTCTCCACTTAACCTCACTCCCCCTCACTCTCCACTCGCATGCAGGAGATCGATACTTTGAAGAAAATGCGTCACAAGCGCATCGTCCGATACCTGGGCTCGGAAACTGTGAGTTTGGGTCTAGTCCCTAGTCCCAAAACAAGCCTCTAGTCTCTAAAATCTCATGAGCGCATGGTCTGATACCTGGGCTCGGAAACTGTGCTCTTGGCTTGCTTTCTACTGCTGCTTCTAGTCTCTAGATGCTCTCACTCGCACAAACACTTGGATACTGTGAGCTGCTTGTTGCTTTGTTTCGAAAACTGCTTCCAGATGGGTGCAAGCAAGTCCTCGACCAGTTCTCCTATCCCTGACAAGTGCATGTACCTGTTCGCTGAGTACATGGACACATCGCTCTCCAAGTACCTGGAGGTCTTTGGCCCCTTGGATTAGAGGAGCACCAGGTGTCACTATGCCCGTCTCAAATTACAATCCCCATGTCCATCCCCCTCTTCGCTCCACCCCCTCTCCTCCCCCTCCAGGACGACAAGTGCATTTACCTCTTTCTCGAAGACATGGACACATCACTATCTAAGTATCTAGAGGACTTTGGCCCCTTGGAGGAGCACCACTTGACATGCTTGTGTCTCTCCCCGCCTCCCCTCTCCTTCCATCTTCTCTCCCCCATACCAACCCTGCTCTCCTCTACGCCAGGACGACAAGTGCATGTATCTCTTTCTCGAGTACATGGACACATCGCTCTCCAAGTACCTGGAGGACTTTGGCCCCTTGGAGGAGCATCAGATCGCCAAGTACACTCGCCAGCTGCTGGAGGGGCTGGCTTACCTGCATGACAACAACATCGTTCATCGGTGGGTGGTTGAGGAGAAGAGAGGGTTGAGATTTAGGGGCTTGAAAGTGGGTGCTTGGCTCAGCCGTTACCTGAAAGTGGTTCCAGTATAGGGTTGAGGCTTAAGGGCTGGCTTTCGAGTCGACTCAAAAGGCACCTGGAGGACTTTGGCCCCTTGGAGGAGCACCAGATCGCCAAGTACACTCGCCAGCTGCTCGAGGGGCTGGCGTACCTGCATGACCACAACATCGTGCACCGGTGGGTGGGTTAGTAGGGTGGTGTGCGGTTGAGGTGGGCGGAAGGTAGGGCTGCTATTGGGAGGCGTTGCTGGAGGGGCTGGCGTACCTGCATGACCACAACATCGTGCACCGGTGGGTGGGTTAGTAGGGTGGTGTGCGGTTGAGGTGGGTGGGTGGGTGGGTGAGTGGGTGGGGGGGCGGGGAACTGGGGGGCTGGGTGGATGACCACAACATCGTTCACCGGTGGGTGGGTGGGCGTGCGTCAGGTTGGTGGGTGCTTGGGTTCAAATGAGTGGCGCAGTTATAATGACTCTGAGGCCTTTCTGTACTGTTCTTTCTTCCCTTTTGTGTCATTATTACTTACTTGCAACCGACAGGGATGTGAAGGGGAAGAACATTCTGACTTTTGAGGCGCCTCAAAAGGCGCAGTTATAATGACTCTGAGGCCTTTCTGTACTGTTCTTTCTTCCCTTTCGTGTCATAATTACTTACTTGCAACCGACAGAGACGTGAAGGGGAAGAACATTCTGCTGGATACCAAGGGAAACGCCAAGCTCGCTGACTTTGGTGTAGCGAAATATGTGAGTCACCTCTCATTCCGTCTCTCCGTTTCAGGGTGTTTTTGAGAATTCTCAAAAACACCCTGCACTTTGGTGTAGCGAAATACGTGAGTCACCTCTCATTCCGTCTCTCCGTTTCTCCCCACCCTCTCACTCCTCTTTGCCTATCCGCTTCCCCCTCACCTCACAACCCCCCTCTCCATGGCTTTTCATCATTTTCTCTCATTTCCCTTCTCATCGTTTTGTCTTCATGCTCATCTATCATTGCACATAATGTATCACACATCCCACATCCTGAATCCCATCCCACACCACATCACGCATCACACATCACGCATCACACATCACCCATCGCACATCACCCATCACACATCACGCATCACACATCACCCATCGCACATCACCCATCACACATCACGCATCACGCATCACGCATCACACATCACGCATCACACATCCCATACACGGCATGGCACATGGGCAGGTGGAGACGCCATCAGACATGTCGGGCATGCGCGGCACTGTGTGGTGGATGGCGCCTGAGGTGAGTTTTGAGCCCTCACCTCCGCCCCTCTCCTTCCCTTGATTGGGGCCATGGGGTGATTCTGGCATGAGGTGACTATGGCATGTGGGCAGACTCAGGCATGCGCGGCACCGTGTGGTGGATGGCGCCTGAGGTGAGTTGCGAGCCCCCCCCCCTGGGTGTGGCATGAGGTGAGCCTTCCCCACCCTAACCTGGGTGAGGCACAGGGTGATTGGGGTGGGGTCCCATCTCCCGCGTGGCACATGAGGTGAGGGCGAGGTGAGAGAGAGAGTCGTACCTACCCAGCCGTACCTCAAGCCTGGTTGGTTGTACTGGCTGGGTAGAACGCGTTAGTACTAGCAGTGCTGGTTGGGTATGCAGGGTACGGTGTGTGTGTGGTGGGTAGTGCCTGAGGTGGATCTGGAGTGGAGTTAACCCGGGTGGGGCATGCGGTGGTGATTCTGGTGTGAGGTTGTGGCTTGTGGGGGCTATGTCATGCCACAGCTTCACGTCATATGCTGAGGCTGTGCCGGTGGTTAAATGCTCATCCTTAGGGATGAGCTGAGCAATATAACGAACTCCTTTTCGGTTCGCTAAATTGTTCGGGGCGAACGTGTTCGGTGTTCGCCCGAACACGTTCGCTGTTCGCCCGGCTCAGCTGGCCGAGGCGCGTCGAACACGAACGTGTTCGTGTTCGACACGGGCCTTCGACAAACACCAATGTGTTCGTCGACGAATAGGCCCGCGACCAATTTTTAGGTCGCGGGCCTTGGTGTTTGGGCTCAGATTTGGCATTTCGCCGTTCCTTAAGTGCAGATCGAGCATTTCGCCGTTGCTTAAGTGCAGATCGAGCATTTCGCCGTTGCTTAAGTGTAGATCGAGCATTTCGCCGTTGCTTAAGTGCAGATCGAGCATTTCGCCGTTGCTTAAGTGCATATCTAGCATTTCGCCGTTGCTTAAGTGCAGATCTAGCATTTCGCCGTTGCTTAAGTGCAGATCTAGCATTTCGCCGTCACACGCTGGCATTAGCATGGATGAAGCAGGGCGGGACTGGCTTGGGGGGTGGGGGGAGGGAATGTGCAACGATTTGAACTTTTACTCTATTTGGACCTTACAGCCACCTAACAAATATCAACAATGCACAATCCACAAACGTGTGACTTTAGTGAATGTAGTCCCGGGGCGAACACGAACGTGTTTGCCACGAACACGTTCGTGTTCCCCTGCATCAACAAGGTGTTCGCCTTCACAGGCGAACGGCGAACACCCTTTTTTGCTAAAGCTGTTCGGCGAACCGAACAGTGTTCGGTCCGCCGAACGGCGGTGTTCGTGCAGGAGCGAACGCGAACACGTTTGTGTTCGCCTCTTGCTCATCCCTCCTTGCTCTGTTTTGTGTGTGTGTGTGTGTGTGTGTGTTTTTTTTTTTGCTCCGTTTTGTGTGTGTGTGTGTGTGTTTTTTTTTTTTTTTTTTTTTGTTTTTTTTTTTTTTTTGCTCCGTTTTTTGTGTGTGTGTGTGTGTTTTTTTTGCTCCGTTTGTGTTCCTTGCTTCATCCATAAAATCCTTGCCTACCCACTTCACTGCCCGCTTCCCCCCAGGTGGTCAACAAGCGGCCGGACGGGTACAACTGGCCGGTGGACATCTGGAGTTTGGGCTGCACTGTTATCGAGATGGCCATGCGGGTTTTTATAAACGCCTGCTCACTTCAACTCCTCGACATCCCCACCCCTCTCTGCCCCTCCGCTCCCTCCTTTCCTCCTCCCAGGTGATCAACAAGCGGCCGGACGGGTACAACTGGCCGGTGGACATCTGGAGTCTCGGTTGTACTGTCATTGAGATGGCCATGCGGGTTGTCGATAAGCGTCTGCGCATCCCTTGGCTTGACATCGAAGGCAAGCCGCCCTGGGGGGCGTCGCCCACTGACGGGGTGAGTCTGGTCAACTCAAGGGTCCGTCAGCATGTTAGGGTTTTCCACACACAAGCGTCTGCGCATTCCTTGGCTCGACATCGAAGGCAAGCCACCCTGGGGGGCGTCGCCCACTGACGAGGTAAGCTGAACCGATGGGGGGTGAGGTTCTGAGTCGACTCAGGAGGCACCTTGTTAGGGCTGTCACGTACAAGCGTCTGCGCATCCCCTGGCTTGACATCGAAGGCAAGCCACCCTGGGGGGCGTCGCCCACTGACGAGGTAAGCTGAACCGATGGGGGGTGAGGTTCTGAGTCGACTCAGGAGGCACCTTGTTAGGGCTGTCACGTACAAGCGTCTGCGCATCCCCTGGCTTGACATCGAAGGCAAGCCACCCTGGGGGGCGTCGCCCACTGACGAGGTAAGCTGAACCGATGGGGGTGAGGTTCTGAGTCGACTCAGGAGGCACCTTGTTAGGGCTGTCACGTACAAGCGTCTGCGCATCCCCTGGCTTGACATCGAAGGCAAGCCACCCTGGGGGGCGTCGCCCACTGACGAGGTAAGCTGAACCGATGGGGGTGAGGTTCTGAGTCGACTCAGGAGGCACCTTGTTAGGGCTGTCACGTACAAGCGTCTGCGCATCCCCTGGCTTGACATCGAAGGCAAGCCACCCTGGGGGGCGTCGCCCACTGACGAGGTAAGCTGAACCGATGGGGGGTGAGGTTCTGAGTCGACTCAGGAGGCACCTTGTTAGGGCTGTCACGTACAAGCGTCTGCGCATCCCCTGGCTTGACATCGAAGGCAAGCCGCCCTGGGGGGCGTCGCCCACTGACGAGGTGAGTTTCTTCTCTGGGGTGGAGTGCCTGTGCATCCCCTGACTGGACACAGGGGGCAGGACGGCCCGCAAACCCGAAACCCCTATTGATGGGGTAAGGCTCTGAATCAACTCCCAGCAGTCAGCTTGTCATTCTGATGCACACGCGCCTGTGCAGCGCACCCCCTGGCTGGACACAAAGGGGCGTGTCGCCTCTCCCTCGCCTCTCCCTCGCCTCTCCCTCGCCTCTCCCTCGCCTCTCCCTCGCCTCTCCCTCGCCTCTCCCTCGCCTTGTCCTCGCCTCCCTCCCCGGCCCTCCCCTACCTTAGGTGATGGGTATCCTGCATAACCACAACCCCCCCGCCCATCCCCAGCCACCTCTCAGACTGCGCCAAGCACTTCCTCCACCACTGCCTTGCACTCAACCCCTCCTTCCCTCCCACCCTTCCCCTCTTCCCCTCCCCCAGATGGCGGCTATTCTGAGAATAGGCGGCACAACAACCCCACCGCCCATCCCCAGCCACCTCTCAGACTGCGCCAAGGACTTCCTCCGCCACTGCCTCGCTGTCAACCCCTCCCACCGCCTGCGAGCCCACAAGCTCATGCAGCATGTGTTTGTCGCAGGGCCAGTGCCCGTGGGGATGGGGTTGAGCAGTGGAGGCATGGGCAGTGGAGGCATGAGTAGTGGAGGCATGAGTTCGGGTCATTTGGACGCTCCTCGCTCCCCCAGGTAAGCCGATGCCCATGCCCATCCCATGCACCTCCTCCCCCTCCCATCGCCTGAGAGCACACAAGCTCATGCAGCATGTGTTCGTCGCAGGGCCAGTGGGCCCCAGTCCCATGCCCGTAGGGGTGGGGATGAGCGGGGCGGGCATGAGTGGCGGAGGGATGAGTGGGGGCATGAGTTCAGGTCATATGGACGCTCCTCGCTCCCCCAGGTAAGTCCATTCACCCCCCACCCTTGCTCAAGTAAGCCCATGCACCCATCCTTGTTGCTTCTCCTGCTGCCACTTAATTGATCTTGTCCGCTCTTCTTTCTTTCATCCTGATTCTCCCCTCTCCCTCGGTTTTCATCCCACCTCTTCACCCTCTCTTGCCTCTCAACCCATTTCTCCCAGGTCGGTGTCCTCCCAGCCCTCCTATCCTTCCCCATGGGAGCAACCTTCGTACCATCAACAGCAGCAACAGCAACAGCAACAGCAGCAGTATCAGCAGCAGCAACAGCATCAACAACAACAGCAGCAGCACCAACAGCAGCAACAACAGCAGCAGCAGCAACAACAGCACCTCAATTATCAGCAGCAGCAACACCCGTCTTGGCGCGATTCCGGTCCGATTCCATCCGGGCCTCCGTCCTCCATGCCTCCTTCCTCAGGCCCGGCGTTGTCCGGACCTGGCATGTACTCCGGCCCTGCTGCCGGACCTGGCAGGCACGGATGGAGGGACGACATGGCTGCCCGGGATTATAATGCCGGACCTCCGTATTTCCCAGGCTCGGCAGCAGGCTTGGTGGCCAACGGAGGTGGGAGAATGAGCCCACAGCATATGTACTCAAGGGGGCAAAACAGCAGTGAGTTTGGGCTAGAGGAAAGAGGAGGGGGAGGGGGAGGAGGGGGAGTGATACCACCTGCTAGGACCCGCAGCAGCCCAACTGTTGACCTGCGAGAGATGGCTGATCATGCCGAAGCTTTTCTCAATAATAACGCTGGTGCGAGTGGCGGGGGGTTTGCTGCTGGTGATGGGGCTGGTGCTACCAGAACCGGACCAGAGCCGCTGTTTGGTGGCAGTGGCATTGGCAGCGGCGGCGGTGGTAGGAGGGATCCAGAGCCTTTGTTTGGCGGCAGTGGCAGTGGCGGCGGCGGCAGGGGTGACCCAGAGCCTTTGTTTGGTGGCAGTGCCAGCGGTGTCGGCGGTGGTAGGAGGGATCCAGAACCTTTGTTTGGTGGCAGTGGCATTGGCGGTGTTGGTGTTGGTAGGGGGGACCCGGAGCCTCTGTTTGCAGCAGGTCCTGCAACTTCTGCTGCTGGTGGCAGTGTGGGTGGTTTGGCTGGTAATGGTGGTCCGGAGCCGTTGTTCCGAGGCTCGGGTGGCGGTTCGGGTCCCGAGCCTCTCTTCTCCGCCAGCAGCACTGCAGCTTCCAGCGCTAGTGGTAGAAGCCATTCAGGTTCGGGCCCCGAGCCTCTTTTCCCGAGCCAGGACAACCGGACCTCACCTCCTCCTCATCACCAGTACCAGCAGCAGCAGCAGATGCCTCTCGACCGCACACGCAGTCCCACATCTAATGAGTTACAACCCGTTGGAGGCACAGGCAGCAGCAGCAACAACAGTATTAATTACCCAGGCAAATCCCCGCCTAGAAGCAAGCCTAAATCCCTCTCCGGCCCTCTCACGCCGCCCCGCCGCCGCCCGGACAGAGAGTCAGGACGCACATACAGCCATGGAATGCCGGCCCTTCCAGACCAAGCAGCTTACCTGGAGGAGAGTGAAGGGGCGGGGGATCGGCCATATAGCGGTGGTGGGAGATCGTTGGGGGGAGAGCAAGATGGGTATCCATCGTATGACCGAGAGAGAGAAAGAGAGAGGGAGCAGGATAGGGAAAGGTGGGAGAGGGAGAGGGAGCGGGAGAGGGAGCGGGAGAGAGAGCGGGAGAGGGAAGGGTATAGCCATAGGCAAATGTCGTCTGGACCAGAGCCTGGTGCGTATGCTCCCACTGGTTCTCTTCCTTATCACCACCAGAACTCGCAGCAGCAGCAGCAGCAGCAGCAGCAGTATGGTGGGTTGGAACAACGGCAGTCTGTACAGGATCAGCCTATATCGAGACGATCTCCTGAGCCATCTTCCCCCCGATCACCCTCAAGCTATGGGCGTGCAAAGCCTTTGTTCCCCGATGGGGGCATGGGTGGGGGTGGGATTGGCAGTGGCAGTGGCAGCAGCAGCAGTAGCGGTGGTGGGTTTGGTGCTGGTGGTGGGGGTGGTGGTGGTGCTGGTGGTGGTGGTGGGGGTGGAGGGATGTATGGGGCCCCTCATGGCCTTTCTCCTCCTCCTCCACCTCCTCAGATGGTCGCTAGGGGGAGTAGTGCAGATGGGTATGGCAGTGGTGGAGATGGGTATGGCAGCGGTGGGGATGGGTACGGTGGCGGTGGCGATCGGTTTGGTGGTGGAGGGCCAGTGGGGCATTGGAATCAGAGGTAAGAGGGTCGTTTTATGCCTTCTCTTGTTTGTTTTTGTCTCCTTTCTGACTTTTCTTGTTTTCTTAGGTATTCTTTCTGTCTCCTCTTGTTTCCCAACTCATCATTTTCCTCATCCCTCCTCTCTTCTCCACCTCCCTTCCCTTCCCCACCCATCACCCTGAGCAGAGACGTTTCCCCACACCGAGCTTCCTCCCTCTCCATCCCCCCACACGACCGCCCCCACAACTTCCCCTTGCAAGGCCCCCACACGGCTCCCTTGCACCAGTCACCCAGCCAGTACCCCTACTCTTCCCAGCAAAACCCATACCACCACCCCCAACCGCAGCAGAACCCCTCTTACCCCCAGCGGCCTTACGACCACTACCCCCCGCCGCCGCCTAACCAATACTCCCAGCAGATGTGGCAGGGTGGGGGGGGGGGAGGAGGGGGAGGAGGGGGGCGGATGGGGGGTGGGTGGGAACAGGGGGCAGAGGGAATGGGTGGGTATGGTTCTTCAACTCAAGTCTCTGGTGCTGGTGGTGGGGGTTATTCTGGTAATATACGGGGGGACATGAGAGGAGGTATGGGCCCAGGCATGGTAGCAGGTTCGGGATCAGGTATGGGTCAAGGTTCAAGGCCAGGTTCGGGAGCTGGTCTGGGCTCTGGACCAGGCCCAGGTCTGGGACCTCAGGGTTTCAATGGTGGTGGCGGCGGTGGAGGTGATCGTGGTCATGGGAATGGCACTGGTGGTGGATATGGTGGTGATTATATGGGGCAGCCTGTAGGGCTAGGGGGAATTGGACGGACCCTCTCTACAGGGGAGTGGGAGCAGAGGCAGCATAAAAATCAGTATATAAACCAAAGCTACAGTAACGCGCCGATATCTAGCACTTACAATGTGGGTGGAGGAGCTGGGGGAAGGTATAGTAATGGTCCAGGTTCAATGTATGGAGGCGGAGGACGTGGGGGTTCCCCGGTTCCTCCTCAGCAGTACATGCAACAGTCGCACTGGCAACAGCCTGGGCCTGAGCAGTTACGGGGGTCGGGAGGAAGTGGTAACGTTGGTAACAGCGGGGATTTAAGCGGGACGGGATCTGCATGGCAGCAGTACCAGGCTAGAAGGGCATCGCATGGTATGCACCCGCAGCAGCAACACCAGTGATTTGCCATAGTATTTATTTCTAGCTAAGTGGTGAAGAACGATGTCATGCAGCGTTTTGAGAATCGAAAAGGAAATGGGGAAGTGTCATGTCAAAATATCTATGGTGTTCTTAGTCATGATATTGGCCTGTGAAGTGAAATTGTCTGATATTGTATTACATCATACGTTTGATGTCGCTCTCAGTTCCAGCTCCTTTGATTGCCCTGTATGTAACGTACGGCATTCTCAAGGCTCGCGGAACTCGCGAATCTAGCACAGCCCTCGCCCTTGAATTGCTCTTGCAGAACGGGTGTCCCGAAAGGTTCAATACTGCATACAACCCTTCTGTAATCGTTATCTACCACTCTAGAACGCGAAACACCTTATGGAGCCGCATCCCGAGCCCCGACGATTTTCAGCAGCACACAAATCAAGCAGCCTCCTTGCTGTCTATTGCCTGCAGTTGTTTCTTTGTTGTGAGTTCTTGAATTTGCAACACCCCGCGGAGCTTTCTCTTCAAATCTCTCCCGGCGCATCGCTGCGTCGTGCAGGCCTCCTTTCTTGACCGAAAATTCGCGGTTAGACTACGTGCATATTTTGCTTCTCCTCCGTTTGCGAATCCACGCGAGATATGGCGGGAATCCGTGCCGCGTTCCTCCCGCTGCTGCTTCTCGCCGGCCTTACCGCGTGCGCGGGATTCTCCGCCAGGCCGTTCTTTCCCGGCGTATCTGTTGAAACTCCCCAAAAGGGATTCTCCGCCAGAACGTTATTTCCTGGCGTCCTTCGCCTGCCGTTGGCTGACGTGGCAGAGCCTCAGCAACTGCTGCTGCAGCAGCAGCAACAGCAAGACGCCGACGCGGAAAATGACGGCACCGGCAGCCGCAGCAGCAGCAGGATTGGACTGAGAGGAAGCGGCTCCTTTCTTGCGAGAGACGCGGTTGATACTTCGCAGAGGCAGGAGCCGCAGCTGCCGAATCAGAAGGAGAAGAAGCTGAAGCTGAAGCAGCCTCCCCCGTGTAAGCAGCCTGCAACCATCCCCAAGATAAGAGCCTTTTCCTGGGTAAACATTCTTCTGTACTGGAAAAAGACAAGAGAGAGAGAAAAAGAGACAACTGTAGCAAAAAAAACAGTAGTATTTGCTTTCAAAACCTCACGTCTAGCATGTTTCTTCCGTTATTTCTTCTGCTCTTTCTTTTGGTCGAGTGTGCTTACAGCGCAGGGAGTGGCGTACCGTGCAGTGCCTGATCCCGACCTCGCAAGCCCCCCGTTTGAGTCACCCTACACGGCCCCTGACATTCCCTTGGACTATCACCAGCAGAACGGCACCAACTACCCCGAGCAGGTCAGTCAGTTGTCTGGATGCTCTTAGCACTCCCGTTTGAGTCACAACCTACACGGACCCGAGGAAGGGCTCCTGACATTCCCTTGGTTGAACCACCACCAGCAGAACGGCACTAACCACCCCGAGCAGGTCTGGTTGCTACAGCGGGAATGAGCGTGTTTGCTGCTAGCAGGTGAGTCTGGCTGTTATTGGCAGACGAATGTTGAGTCAACCTACACGGCTCCTGACATTCCCTTGGTTGGACTACCGCCAGCAGAACGGCACTAACCACCCCGAGCAGGTCAGCCTGCTCTATGCATGATCCTAGCACTCCCTCTTGAATAAGGTTCACAGATGCACGTTTGAATCACCCTACACGGCTCCTGACATTCCCTTGGTTGGACTACCACCAGCAGAACGGCACTAACCACCCCGAGCAGGTGCTTCTCGCCCCAGATTCTCCTGATGGTCTCTTCTTGTTTGTACGGTGCAGCATCCGCAACACCATGCCATTTAGCCCATGCGAGATGAAGCACCAGTTGCCCCAACTTATGCTTTCTTCTCCCCCACCTTTTCTCCTCCCTCCCTCACCCTTCTTCTTCCTCAGGTGTTTCTCGCCCCGGCTTCTCCCGATGGTCTTTTCATGTTTGTACGGTTTGTCATCCCCAATATATCATGCCGTTAAACGCATGCGAGAAGAGGCACAAGCTGCCCATGCTTATGCGCTCTTCACCCCTCTTCCCTCCACCCTCCACCCTCCCCCCTCCCTTTTCTCTGCCCAGGTGCTTCTCGCCCCAGCTTCTCCCGATGGCCTTTTCATGTTTGTACGGTTTGTCATCCCCAACATCATGCCGTTAAGCGCATGTGAGAGGAGGCACAAACTTCCGATTGACCTGCTCACGGAACTAGGGGAAGAGGCAGGGCGTGTCATCAAGTCTAGTGAGGGGAAAGCAGGTGTGGGGGAGGAGGAAGAGGACGAGAAGGACGCGAAGGAGGGGGAGGGAGGAGAAGAAGAAGGGGAGGAGGGGGAAGAGAGGGAGGTGGAGGGGGGTTTTGTGGAAGGCGGGATGGGTGCGAGCAAGTGCAGGCGCAAGCGCTCTGTGCTTTATGGCACGGACCCCAACGCCCTCAACCAGTCAGCAAGGTGCAGCAAGATCCATGTGCTAATTAAAATTGGAAAGGCAAACTTTGTTCATCTGCGCAAGCGCTCCCTGCACTATGGCACGGACCCAAACGCCCTCAACCAATCAGCCAGGTGGGGCAGGATCCATGTGTACACACAGACCTAACAGGTACTCTATTCATCTCAATGAGCAGGCGCAAGCGCTCCGTGCACTATGGCACGGACCCAAACGCCCTCAACCAGTCAGCAAGGTGGGGCAGGATCCATGTGTACACACAGACCTAACAGGTACTCTATTCATCTCAATGAGCAGGCGCAAGCACTCCGTGCACTATGGCACGGACCCAAACGCCCTCAACCAGTCAGCAAGGTGGGGCAAGGTCCACATGTACACCTAAAATGGGAGGGTAACTTGGTTGGTTCGCCTCAATGTGGAGGAGCACAACCCAACACTCTTAACCAGTTGGTCAGGTAGGGCACATTTCAACCTTACACCTTAAATGGGAGGGTAACTTGGTTTGCCTCAATCTGCAGCCGCCCTCCTTCCCTTCCCCCCCTTTTTTCCCCTCCGTCCCTTCTTTCCTCCCCCCTGTTATGACCAGTGGTCATTCCTTCCGCTATGCATTCGCAGAGGGCACAGACGGAGCATACGTGTCGGGAGATACATTCTTCATCCCCATCGGCCCACTCGTCCCCGCAACGCGCTACTTCTATCGAATCGAGGGCTCCCCAACCACCCACTCCTTCACCTCGCTTCCTTCTCCTGGCTCTGCTTCCGCCTACCCGTTCAAAGTCGCACTTGTGGGTGAGTTGTGAGTCTGTTTCTCGCCCTGGGGTATGTGGCCTCCACCACCCACCCTCTCGTTCCCCTCCCTTCCACGCGCTACTTCTACCGAATCGAAGGCTCTCCCATCACACGCTCCTTCGTGTCTCTCCCTGCCCCTGGCTCTGCTTCCGCCTACCCGTTCAAAGTCGCACTTGTGGGTGAGTTTATTCATAGTCAGATGAGTCAGGATAGGGGCCAGTCGGATTTTGCGTATTCCAGTTGACTGCTTCAACCCGTCGGCCCGTTCCGCTCCACCCCTCCACTTGTGGTGTGTCTGTTTCTCTCTTATGTAACAACTCCTTTTTTACCATGAGGCTCAGACGCTCAGCAGCAGCACCACCACATTTGACCGTGTCAAAGGCGAAAGTGAAGTTCGGAGACGTCTCAAAACTTCACTGTCTACACTCAGACGCTCCCTGGCCCCTGTCAATGAGGCTCATGCGCTCAGCAGCAGCGCCACATTTGACCATGTCAAAGCCCACAGGTCCAGCCTGGTGCTGCTCGCATGCTGAATGTTCTTCCCCTCCTCGTTTTGGTCTCCATTGCCCCGATCCGCCAGGCGATGTGGCTCAGACGCTCAGCAGCAGCGCCACATTTGACCATGTCAAAGCCCACAGGTCCAGCCTGGTGCTTCTCGCAGGGGAGCTGAGTGCTCTCCTCCCGTCCTCTTTCCCCTCTTTTTCCATCTGGCCTCCCTCCTTCTCTTCCCCGTGCCCTGTCCCCATGGCCCCTCTCCTTCTTCAGGCGATGTGGGTCAGACGCTCAACAGCAGCACCACATTCGACAACGTGAAAGCCGGCAACCCCAGCCTGGTGCTGTTCGCGGGGGACCTGAGCTCTTTCGCCTCCTGCTTCCCACCTCACCTCTATCCCCTCTGCCCTCCATGCCATAATTGCCCCACATCCTCCCCGCCAGGCGATGTGGGTCAGACGCTCAACAGCAGCACCACATTCGACAACGTGAAAGCCGGCAGCCCCAGCCTGGTGCTGTTTGCAGGGGATCTTAGCTACGCTGACCAGTACGGCCCACCGCACTGCACACCTATGGACTCTGCTCAATCTCTCCTGACTGCTGATTCTCCTGAGGCTGGCGGAAAGAGCGAGAGCGAGAGGGAAAGGACGAGCAAGATATGTGGGCTGGGAGGGGTGCGCTGGGACTCCTATGGCCGCTTGTCCGAGAAAGTATTTGCTCATATCGTAAGTTCCTCTGCGAGCCTTGGTGCATCTTGTGTGTTTTTCCTGTCACCCGCACTGAGGAGAGGATCCCTCTTGGGAGGAGCAAGATTTGTGGGCTGGGCGGAGTGCGCTGGGACTCCTATGGCCGCTTGTCCGAGAAAGTATTCGCCCAGATATATCGTAAGTTCTTCTGAAGTTCTTCGCCCAGATCGCCCAGGTATCGTAAGTTCCTCTGCGAGCGCGATTTTGAGAATTTTCAAATGCGGCACGATTCTTGGTGCATCTTGTGCCATTCTTTTTTCATAAAGAGCTTCCAGCACTGCTATGTTTCACGAGAAATGTTCCTTTATGGAAAATGCACCAAGATGTTCTTGTGACGCAAAGAATCTCCAGCACTGCTATCCTCGCCTGCCGCTGCCACGTGTAGCTTATGCTAATACATGCATATACATATATATATATATACAAATACAAATACAATAACAAAAACAAAAACGATATTCAAGGTGTCCCATCTGTACGTACTCTCCTCGCCTGCTGCTGCCAGCCTGTGGCGCACGTCCCAGGGAACCATGAGATCGAGCTCGTGCCGAGGTGGGGCGAGCTGCGGCCGTTCAAAGTGTATTCTGCACGGATCCCCCCTCTGCTGCACCACCACCACCCGCTGCTGGCGAGCCTGCTGTCCAAGGTGAGGGCTGTGGGTTGTGGCTTCTCATAGCGCTGAGAGCTGTCGTTGCAGCTCGCTAAAATGCGTCTCGTCTACTCCTTGGACATTCCACCCTCTTATGTATTTCCTCGCCCTTTCATTTCTTGCTTCACCCCCTCGTGGTATCAGGCAGGATCAATCCTTCTCATTACCACCACCATCATCACCACCACCATGCATACCCCTTTCCACTCTTTGTTGTGTGTCCCTATCTCCTTCAAATTCCTTTTGATCAGCACCACCACCATGCGTAACCATCCAAGGCGTGTCTCTTTTACTCCATGGACATCGGCTCCTCTTCTACTTCCGAGAGCCACTTTTCTCTTATGCGTCCCTCTCTCCTCCATCCCTCTCTCTTGCCTTGCCTCACCCGTTTGGTATCAGGCTGGACTTACTCCCAACCACCATCACCATCATCATCACCACCATGCGTACCCGGCCAAGGCACCGCTCTTCTACTCCATGGACATCGGCCCCGTGCATGTGATCGCCATCAACTCCTACTCGCCTTTCGTTATCTACACGCACCAGGTAATGTGGGGTGGTGTCTGTCATGTGGTGTGGTGTGGTATGGTGTGGTGTGATTCAGTGCGGTGCAGTGTGGCGTGGTGTGGTAAGTAGCCTCTCTTCTACTCATTGGACATCGGCCCAGTGCATGTGATTGCTGTCAACTCCTACTCGCCCTTCGTTATCTACACGCACCAGGTAATGTGGGGTGGTGTGTGGTGTGGTGAGGTGTGCTGTGCTGTGGTGTGGTGTGGTGTGGTGTGGTGGTGTGTGGTGTGGTTCACTGTGGTGTGGTAACTAATCTTTTCTACTCTCTGGACATCGGAACTGTGCATGTGTTCGCAATCGACTCCTACTCGCCTTTCGTTATCTACACGCACCAGGTAGCACAGTTAGATGCAAGGGACAGGCATATGGTGTGGTGAGTAGTGGGGTGCACTGTGGTGTGGTGCGGTGCTGTGTGGTGTGGTGGTTCCACTCTTCTATTCCCCTGGACATCGGCCCAGTGCACATGATCGCTATCAACTCCTACTCGCCCTTCCTCATCTACATGCACCAGGAAGGATGGGGTGTGGTGTGGTGTGGTGAGGTGCGGTGTGGCATGGTTCAGTGTGGCGTGGTGTGGCGTGGTGTGGTGTGGTGTGGTGTGGTGGGGTGGGGTGGGGTGTGGTGGGATGGGGTGGGGTGGATGTGTACTCTCACTTAGTAGGTCTGGGGTGTGTTGGATAGGATAACCAAGAAGCTAAGGTCGTTCGATTCGATTCGTACTTTTCCTCTTGTGCATCTTGTGTGTCATCCCCATGCCACGTGGCACAGTGGTACTGGCTGCGGGACGACCTGTGCCGCATCGACCGCGAGAAAACCCCGTGGGTGGTGGCGTTCATGCACGTGCCTCTCTACAACAGCAACGATGGGCACTACTTGGAGGTATGGCTGTAGCAGTTGGATGGAGAAAGTGTATGAGGCAGGTGCAGTGCATGTGACAGCTGGAAAGGGCGATCAACCACAAGTGGTGGCACTGTGAAGTGGGTGGTGGCGTTCATGCACGTGCCTCTCTACAACAGCAACGACGGGCACTACTTGGAGGTACGGCCTATGAGGTGACAGTTGGACGTGATGGCTGCATTAGTTGTGCCCCTGTCAAGTGCGTGGGTCGTGGCGTTCATGCACGTGCCTCTCTACAACAGAAACGACGGGCACTACTTGGAGGTGAGGCTGTGGTTGCTGTGTGTGCTTGTCACAGCTGGATAGGTCGGCATTTAACCGGTACCTGTGCCACTGTCAAGTGCGTGAGTGGTGGCGTTCGTGTATGTGCCTCTCTGCAACAGCAGCGACGGGCACTACTTGGAGGTACAGGGTGTGCCAGGTGCATGTGGCAGTTACATGGAGTGAGTAACCACTACTTGTGACACTATCAAGTGGGCCGTGGCGTTCATGCACCTGCCTCTCTGCAACAGCAGCGACGGGTACTACCTTGAGGTATGGGTGTGACAGTCGCATGTGAATTTGACAGCTGCATATACCATCTGCAGGGGACAAATGTAGCCAACAGGTGCCTTAAGTGCTGAGCTAACTTCTCGGTTCTCTGTGTGCGTGGATGAAATTTTGCTGTTCCTGCCGTCTCCCCTGTTCCCCTTTGCCCACCTATCTTTTTCTTCTCAGGGCGAGCCAATGCGGTACGAGATAGAAGAGTGGTTGCACGAGGCAGGGGTGGATCTGGTGGCGAGCGGGCACGTGCATGCATACGAGCGCAGCTACCCTGTGTACGGGATGAAGCGCATGGAGAACGGGTGTGCCGCCGTGCATGTGACAGTTGGGGATGGTGGCAACATTGAAGAGATCGCCGGCCCGTGAGTGCTCTTTGTTATGCTACAAGCACAGTTGCGCTGTCTATCATGGCATGAAGCGCATGGAGAATGGGTGTGCTGCCGTGCATGTGACTGTGGGGGATGGTGGCAACATTGAAGAGATCGCCGGCCCGTGAGTGCTCTTGCTCTCCGTTACTATCAGCTTCTTTACTGGATCTGGGGTGGATGTGGTGGGGTGTTTTGAGGCACCACAGAAGCTCCGTAACGGGCGGATCTGGTGGCGAGTGGGCACGTGCATGTGTGCGAGCGCAGCTACCCCGTGTCTGGCATGAGGAGACTTTTCAAGTGAATTTTGAGAATTCTCAAAAGTGAGTCAACCAGACACCTTTTTTGAGGCGCCTCAAAAAAAGAATTCTCCAAAGTGAGTCAACCAGACACCTTTGACACCGCTCGTGTCAGGAGCACATTCTTTAAGTGCCGTTTTTTTTTGTTTTGTTTTTTTTTTTGTTTTTTGTTTGGTCCTGTGCAGTTTCCTTGAGCCGCAGCCGTCGTACAGCGCGTATCGTGAGGAGTCGTTTGGGCATGCTGAGCTGGTGTTTAACGACAATCACACCGCCACCTACAGCTGGTGTGTTCTTTTTGTTGCCCCGAGATCTTCTGTTCTCCAACGACTAAGGATCTGCTTTTTCAGAATTCTCAAAGAAATCCTGTTCTCCTTAGTCGACTAAGGATCAACTCTGATATCATTCGACAAAGGGAACAAAAGTTAGTGTTTTCTCTTTCTTCTTTCTCTTTCTCTTTCTGTTCATTTCCTTTGTGCTGCTGGTGGCTATTTTTGTTGCTCCACGTGCGCAGGTACCGCAACCACCAGGGATCGGGCGTGCTCGCGGATTCCTTCACGCTTCTCAATCGCGCCAACAGCTGCGGCGGCCTTCGCCGCCCATCCTTCTGCTCCTCCTAGCCTGGGGAATATAAACTACGGGGATAGAAAGAAGCAGTGTGGACGAACAATCAGACTCTCAATTTGGTGTTCTTGCTGATTCCTTCACTCTTCTTACCTTCATGCCAACAGCCGCAGCAGCCTCTGCCGCCCTTTCCCTGCTCCTACCAGCTTGAGGTGACTTTTGAGTCGATGCAAGAATCCTTTTTGAGTTTGTGAGTAAGATGTTTGGAGATATAAGTACGGTAGTTCTCAGGATTTCTCTGAAGAGCCCCTCCACCCACCCTAGTGTTACTCCAGCCGGGAAAAAGGTCGTTTGGGAATTAAAACAGTCTGGATTGGAGGGTGCTTTTAAGATTTTTCATTAGGGCCCCTCTCCGCCGCCCTCGCCGCCCTTCTGCCTTAGCCCCCTCACTCGCTCTCATTGTTCTGTAGACCACCAAGGTACCTTATGCCCTAGCAGACACTGTAACCTGACGGTATGAAAGTAGTAGGCTGCTGGAAGGCAAATTTGGCCAGATCTACAGTTTTTTATTGAAAGGAAAGGTTAGTGTTACATTCCGAATGTAAACGAAACAAGCCCTGAATACAGCCTTCCGTTTGTACTGCGCAATTCATCTATAAGCCTGTTCCAATTCGACCCCAGGGACCCAATAAAATAATCACATTCTGCAGTAATGAGCAGATTGGCGAAAATGTTTGAAATTGGTTGCTGCGCGTTTTCCTGCTCATCTTTCATTTGTTGCGCACTTTGCACTCTAGAAGCATTGGTGTAGAGAAACGTCCAGCCGGGATAATTGCCAGTTTCGTCGATTACAGACTGGGAAGTTGGAAGATGAAAAATGGGGAGCGGGGAGATAGGGGGGAGAAGGATGTTGGTGGGAAGGAATTTCGTAGCAGGTTCACAAAGAAAGTTGTAGTAAAAGGTAGAAACAAGGAGATTGGAGAGGACTGGACTGACTGGCATATTGGAGGATGCGCATGCGTGGCAGGATGAGGAATGCGTGAGAAATGGCAGCTGAATGCGTGAGAAATGGCAGCTGAATGCGTGAGAAATGGCAGCTGAATGCGTGAGAAATGGCAGCTGAATGCGTGAGAAATGGCAGCTGAATGCGTGAGAAATGGCAGCTGAATGCGTGAGAAATGGCAGCTGAATGCGTGAGAAATGGCAGCTGAATGCGTGAGAAATGGCAGCTGAATGCGTGAGAAATGGCAGCTGAATGCGTGAGAAATGGCAGCTGAATGCGTGAGAAATGGCAGCTGAATGCGTGAGAAATGGCAGCTGAATGCGTGAGAAATGGCAGCTGAATGCGTGAGAAATGGCAGCTGAATGCGTGAGAAATGGCAGCTGAATGCGTGAGAAATGGCAGCTGAATGCGTGAGAAATGGCAGCTGAATGCGTGAGAAATGGCAGCTGAATGCGTGAGAAATGGCAGCTGAATGCGTGAGAAATGGCAGCTGAATGCGTGAGAAATGGCAGCTGAATGCGTGAGAAATGGCAGCTGAATGCGTGAGAAATGGCAGCTGAATGCGTGAGAAATGGCAGCTGAATGCGTGAGAAATGGCAGCTGAATGCGTGAGAAATGGCAGCTGAATGCGTGAGAAATGGCAGCTGAATGCGTGAGAAATGGCAGCTGAATGCGTGAGAAATGGCAGCTGAATGCGTGAGAAATGGCAGCTGAATGCGTGAGAAATGGCAGCTGAATGCGTGAGAAATGGCAGCTGAATGCGTGAGAAATGGCAGCTGAATGCGTGAGAAATGGCAGCTGAATGCGTGAGAAATGGCAGCTGAATGCGTGAGAAATGGCAGCTGAATGCGTGAGAAATGGCAGCTGAATGCGTGAGAAATGGCAGCTGAATGCGTGAGAAATGGCAGCTGAATGCGTGAGAAATGGCAGCTGAATGCGTGAGAAATGGCAGCTGAATGCGTGAGAAATGGCAGCTGAATGCGTGAGAAATGGCAGCTGAATGCGTGAGAAATGGCAGCTGAATGCGTGAGAAATGGCAGCTGAATGCGTGAGAAATGGCAGCTGAATGCGTGAGAAATGGCAGCTGAATGCGTGAGAAATGGCAGCTGAATGCGTGAGAAATGGCAGCTGAATGCGTGAGAAATGGCAGCTGAATGCGTGAGAAATGGCAGCTGAATGCGTGAGAAATGGCAGCTGAATGCGTGAGAAATGGCAGCTGAATGCGTGAGAAATGGCAGCTGAATGCGTGAGAAATGGCAGCTGAATGCGTGAGAAATGGCAGCTGAATGCGTGAGAAATGGCAGCTGAATGCGTGAGAAATGGCAGCTGAATGCGTGAGAAATGGCAGCTGAATGCGTGAGAAATGGCAGCTGAATGCGTGAGAAATGGCAGCTGAATGCGTGAGAAATGGCAGCTGAATGCGTGAGAAATGGCAGCTGAATGCGTGAGAAATGGCAGCTGAATGCGTGAGAAATGGCAGCTGAATGCGTGAGAAATGGCAGCTGAATGCGTGAGAAATGGCAGCTGAATGCGTGAGAAATGGCAGCTGAATGCGTGAGAAATGGCAGCTGAATGCGTGAGAAATGGCAGCTGAATGCGTGAGAAATGGCAGCTGAATGCGTGAGAAATGGCAGCTGAATGCGTGAGAAATGGCAGCTGAATGCGTGAGAAATGGCAGCTGAATGCGTGAGAAATGGCAGCTGAATGCGTGAGAAATGGCAGCTGAATGCGTGAGAAATGGCAGCTGAATGCGTGAGAAATGGCAGCTGAATGCGTGAGAAATGGCAGCTGAATGCGTGAGAAATGGCAGCTGAATGCGTGAGAAATGGCAGCTGAATGCGTGAGAAATGGCAGCTGAATGCGTGAGAAATGGCAGCTGAATGCGTGAGAAATGGCAGCTGAATGCGTGAGAAATGGCAGCTGAATGCGTGAGAAATGGCAGCTGAATGCGTGAGAAATGGCAGCTGAATGCGTGAGAAATGGCAGCTGAATGCGTGAGAAATGGCAGCTGAATGCGTGAGAAATGGCAGCTGAATGCGTGAGAAATGGCAGCTGAATGCGTGAGAAATGGCAGCTGAATGCGTGAGAAATGGCAGCGGAAGGAATCTGTAGACAAGAGTACCCATCCTTTCCAAAATAGACAAGATGGGGGTGCCGATGAGTATAGGCAGCGGAATGTGCGAGAAATGGCAGAAGAATGATGCAGCGGTGAGAAACTTTTGAGTCGACTCAAAAGTCACCTATGATGCAGCGGTGAGAAACCAGAGAATTCTGAATGGAAGTCCAAAGGAATGTGAACAAGAACAACTGGAGCTAACACTTGAGTTCCTCCATGACTCATGGTACTAGGATGCGCAGAATCTGAACAAAAACAACTGGTGCTAACACTTAAGCTCCTCCTCAGTCCCATATTCATCCTCTCACCTGCACTTTTGTGCTCAGCCAGACATGCTTCAGGTCCGGCCGGTGAGCTCTCAGCCGGGTAGCCGCAAGCATGAACGCCGGCAGAGGGTGAAGCTCCATCTCATACCCTTTGTCTCTCAGCCGCACATGCACGCTCACCACTGGCCGCACCATTGAGGTGCATAAAAAAGCATCGCCGGCCCTTTGTCACGCACCCCCACATGCATGCTCAACCCTTGCTTCCACCACTTCCCCACTCACCGCGCCCTCCTCTTACCTGCACCTCTGTGCTCAGCCAAACGTGCTTCAGGTCCGGCCGGTGAGCTCTCAGCCGGGCAGCCACGAGCATGAACGCCGGCAGCGGGTGAAGATCCATCTCGGACCCTTTGTCACTCAGCCGCACATGCACGCTCACCACTGGCCGCACCATTGAGGTGCATAAAAAAGCATCGCCGGCCCTTTGTCACGCACCCCCACATGCATGCTCAACCCTTGCTTCCACCACTTCCCCACTCACCGCGCCCTCCTCTTACCTGCACCTCTGTGCTCAGCCAAACGTGCTTCAGGTCCGGCCGGTGAGCTCTCAGCCGGGCAGCCACGAGCATGAACGCCGGCAGCGGGTGAAGATCCATCTCGGACCCTTTGTCACTCAGCCGCACATGCACGCTCACCACTGGCCGCACCATCTGCACCCCCCCCCCCACCCCCGTGTCCGCACTTCCCCCCTCCCTCGTCTGCCCACTTTCCATGCCTGAGCATCCAGTAACCCCTTTCATTGGCCAGATATGCGACTGCAACGACTGTACACGTGTCGCGCTGCCATTCGCTGCAAGGATCTCCCTCCCTGTTTCCCGTGCCTTGGCTGCAACCAGGAGCAGCAGATCGTCCAGCGGATCTCCTATTTCTGCTGTTGAGCTGGCAGCTGACGTGGCCACTGAGCTGGCATCTGACGTGGCTGCTGAGCTGGCACCCGAGGTGGCGTTCAGCGATTCGATGATGCTCGCCTGCTGGGCAGCGACTGCTGCCACACGATCGGCCATGAGGCGGCCGTAGCTGACGTGGCGGACGTGGTTGATGACGTGGCAGAGATGAGCAGACGGCCAGCGGAGCAAGAAACGGGCGGCTTGAGCTCGCCACCACCGAGCCTGGTGGGGGGAAAGAGGCGGCGGAGAGGCGGGGTGGGGGGAGAGACGCGGGGGGTGGGGGGAGAGAGGCGGGGAGGGGAAGGGCAGAGGGTTGGGGGGGGAGGAGAGAGAGAGGATGCGGAAATACAACTTCCGGGGCGCATCAGGATTAACCGATCTCTCATCATGCAGTGATGCACCTTCCATCATGCAGTGATGCGCATACCATCATGCAGTGATGTTGACAGCCTCAATGTAACACATACCATCATGCAGTGATGTTGGTAGTCTATTTGTAACACATACCATCATGCAGTAATGCACACACCATCATCCACCCACCATCATGCACACACCATCATCGACCCACCATCATGCACATACCATCATGCAGTGATGCACATACCATCATGCAGTGATGTTGACAGCCTCAATGTAACACATACCATCATGCAGTGATGTTGGTAGTCTATTTGTAACACATACCATCATGCAGTAATGCACACACCATCATCCACCCACCATCATGCACACACCATCATCCACCCACCATCATGCACACACCATCATCCACCCACCATCATGCACATACCATCATCCAGTCTGGATACATGCTCGAGATGGAGTTTTGCTGTTTAACGGTGTAAGGCCGCTTATGAGACGCCTCAAAATTAATGTACACACCATCACCCTCTACCCACCATCATCCAGTCCGGGTACATGCTCGGGATGGAGTTTTGCTGTTTAACAGTGTAAGGCCGATCCAGCCATGGTTTGCCCAGTTGCCTGCCATGGGGGTATATATTGTTACCATCATCCACACCCCATAATGCACATACGATCAAGGACAGAACCAACGTAACCGTTATGGGGAACACAAACGAAGGAAATCCACATCGCAACAACATTGTTTTGAAAGCTTTGTGGCTTTGATTACCTGCAAGTCCTCTCGTCTCTTATGAGACATTTAATATACCGATTCAACGTTTCTACTCTGCAGTACGACAGTTTGGCAGCATCAACGTCCCCATAGGGAAATGAGGTGACTTTTGAGTTGCCTGTACAGTAATCTCTCTCACTCATCTCTTCCACCAATCTCTCCCACTCATCTCTCCCACTCACAGTTTGGCAGCATCAACGTCCCCATAGAGCGATGAGAGTGCGAGGTAGACCACCTGCATGGCATGGGATGAGCAGGAATGGCATGCCATGGCATGGCATGGCATGGAAAGGAGCGGCATGGAATCAGTGCTTGGCAGCATGAACGTCCCCATAGAGGGATGAGAGTGCGAGGTAGACCACCTGCATGGCATGGCATGGTGGCGCGGCACGACATAGCAAGTCATGGAAACGAATGGCAAGACATGGAAACGAATGGCAAGACATGGAAACGAATGGCAAGACATGGAAACGAATGGCAAGACATGGAAACGAATGGCAAGACATGGCACGAAATGAAATAGCATGGCACGTCATGGCATGGCATGGCATGGCATGGCATGGCATGTCCTCTCACGTCCTCCCCATGGATATCCACTGCTTCAATACACCCATTCGACTTGCTTAGTAGCGCACAAATAACAAATCAAGCACGTAGCAATCAACCAGTAACCCCAACTGGAAAAAAAAAAAAAACAAAAACAAAAACAAAAACAAAAAAAACAAACAAACAAAGCACAAAACAAAATCACCTGTGTGTCGCCAGCCAGCATGCTCTCTCGCACGTCATCACCACGGATATCCGGAGCCTCGCCCCTCTCATACACTGCCATGGCCGCATGCACACATGCAGGGGCTTCTGAGAACGCTCACAAGAACCCCACAAGGCCCCCACACAAGAACCCCACACAAGAACCCCACACAAGAACCCCACACAAGAACCCCACACAAGAACCCCACACAAGAACCCCACACAAGGCCCCCACTCACCTGTGTGTCGCCAGCCAGCATGCTCTCTCGCACGTCATCCCCTCGAATATCCGGAGCCTCCCCCCTCTCATGTGCTGCCATGGCCTCTTGCACACATGCAGGGGAGGCGATGGGGAAGAAGTAGCACTCCCACTGCTGCGCCTGGCGCAGGTCTTTGGGGGGTTGGGGGGGAGAGTGGTAGGGGGGGAAGGGAGGGGAGGGGAAGGGAGGGGAGGGGAAGGGAGGGGAGGGGAAGAAAGAATAATCGTGAGATGGGAGAGAAGTTGCACTCCCGCGGTCATGTGCTGCCATGGCCTCTTGCACGCATGCAGTGGAGGCAATGGGGAAGAAGTAGCACTCCCACTGCTGCGCGTGGCGCAGGTCTTGGGGGGGTGGGGGGGAGAGAGGAGGGGGAAGGAAGGGGGTGAAGATTTTGGGGTTGGGGGAACGTTGTGTGTACGGTGTGCTCATGGGTGACTTTTGAGGCGCCTCAAAAGTCGATTTTGGGGTTGGGGGAACGTTGTGTGTACGGTGTGCTCAAGGGTGTGTGAACTTCCGAGGGAGGTGGTGTGGTGTGTCCGGGGCAGTCCCATTCCTTCATACTCGCTCCCAGCGCGTTCAAGGGAGGGGGTGAAGATTTTGGGGTTGGGGGAACGTTGTGTGTACGTCCGAGGGAGGTGGTGTGTCCGGGGCAGTCCCATTCCTTCATACTCGCTCCCAGCGCGTTCAAGGGTGCATGGAATTAACACGAGAGTGCGGTTGGTGCGCATGGCAATGCTCAGATACGCCCCCACCACATGGATCATGCTCCCCATCCCATGGTGCAGCCCGGGCCTCTACCCCTCCCACTCCTGGTGCATGCATGAGGGACGGTGTCGTGAATCTTCCTCTGTCCACCCTCATTCCCTTTCTCCCCTGTGTAACCTGCTGACTTCTCCTTCTCTCCTTCCTTCCCTGCCACCCGTACTGCTGATCAGGTTCATCCCTTCTTCCTCCTGGCGTATGTAATCACTCTGTCCTGCACTCCTCCTGGTACCTCAGGCTTCCCTTGTAGCAAGCGTAACACTCCCCCTCAGGGGCTCCGTCAAATTGCTTATAGCTTCTCCTACTGCTAGTTCCCTCTGGATTAGGAAAACAAATTGCAGTAAATGAGAAACATACAAGCAAAAAGCAAGAAGCCCGAGTGCTACTCCTGCCTACATCTATTCCCACCCCCTGCCTAGGTTGCTTCCTCCACAAGCAAGCTCCTGTGCACCAAGCGAGTCAGCCGGGCTGCTCGCGAGGTCTCCAAGGTGCTAGCTGTGTTCCCACTGGGCCCACTAGGCATGCACTGCCTTCCAGCCTGGTGACTTCGAATTCAATTCCCAGGCTGGCATTGAATTCGCCTTCCAGCCTTGTGACTTCGAAATTGAATTCACAGGCTGGAATTGAATTCGTCTCCACCAACCTCCTTGAATTCGCCTCCCACTAACCACCTCAAATTCCCCAGCTACTCGGCTCTGCAGTACAGTACAATACACTCCAAGCACACAAATGAAATTAGAGTACAAAAGCGGTAAACTATAGTACACCCTCACCTTGGCTGCTGTGGTATTCACACTTAGTTGCCAGCTAAGTGTTAATAACGCGACAGCTGTCGTGAATCTTCCTCTGTCCACCCTCATTCCCTTTCTCCCCTGTGTAACCTGCTGACTTCTCCTTCTCTCCTTCCTTCCCTGCCACCCGTACTGCTGATCAGGTTCATCCCTTCTTCCTCCTGGCGTATGTAATCACTCTGTCCTGCACTCCTCCTGGTACCTCAGGCTTCCCTGCCCCCTCCCGTGTCTCAGCGCCCATCTTTGCCGCTCGAGTCACGGGACCCACTGCCTGAGGCTTCCCTTGTCCCGCCCTGGCCACGTTGGTGATGTGTTCCTTGATGATTCCCCCTCGAATATCTTCCAGCACTAACACTCCCGAGCCTCGTATCTCTTTCACCTTCCACCGCTCCGATCCCACCGCTAAGTCCAGCGTGTCGCGCTTAGCTTTGCGAAGGTATACCTCCTGCCCTGCCTCCACCTTGTCACCCTTTCCCCCTATCCCTGATGCTTTACGCTGCTGGTATCGTCTTGCGTCACGCAGCTGCGCCACATGGAGGTTATCCAGAGCTGCCGGAGTCAGCTCCTTCAAATACTTTGCTCTCCTCTGTGCTAACTCCGCCCACAGGTTTGGCTCATCTGCCTCTATAACCGCAGAAAGCAGCTTCGGAGCATCGACCGGCAGCACAGGATCCCGCCCGAACAGTAAGTGGTATGGGGATAGGTTTCTCAGAGCCGCCTGCTTTGCGAACCTGTACCCCGCCAGCACCCACCAGAGATCTCGGTCCCAACTCCTTTTGTGGGACTCACTGTAGGCCCGTAGTCCTTTCTTCAAGGTCTGTATGAGCCTCTCGGTCAGTCCGTCTGATTGAGGATGGTACCTAGAGGTGACCCTGTGCGTGATACCCATCTCTTCCAGCAGCTCGTCGAAGCTCCCTTGAAATTCCGTCCCTTGATCAGTGAGTACCTCCCCGCATGCCCCATACCTGGTGAGCACCAGCTCCTCAAAAGCGTCAGCTATCAGTGCGCTGTTCTTGCTTGGTAACGCTCGCGCCTCCACCCATTTACTCGTGTGCTCAACCATCACCAGAATGTACTGCTTCCCTCCTTTCGATAGTGGCAGCTCTCCCGCGAGGTCCAACGACCACCTGTAGCCCAACCCGCGAATTGGTAAAGAATGCAGCTCATCTCTCTCTTTCTCCAGCCTTGCTTTATTCCTCTGACATGCCTCGCAGCTCGCCACTTATCCTGCCACATCCTTTCCCATGCTCACCCACCAGTACATGGTGCTCAGCAGCTGCCGTGTTCTGGTTATGCCGAAGTGCCCCAGCTTCGCGTGCACATTCCCCATAATCTTGGCTCTCTCCTGTGGTTGTGGCACCACCTTCCACCCTTCGTTGGTTCTCAGCTGCAGCTGTTCCTGAAACCACCTGAAATGCTGCCCTCGGGCCCTGGCTCTCTCGCTCACTCCTTCCTCTTCTAGTGGCTCCCCTTTGATCCAACTCAGGGTCTCCTCATCCTCCCATATATCCCCTAACCGCTTCTTTCCTTTCTCCTGCCCCCAGGGTACCGCCGCTACTTGAGCCAGGGCTGCCAGCTGCGCTACCGGCTGCATTGGTGGCGGATTCCTTGATAACCCATCTGCGTGCTGCAGCGTTTTCCCAGGCCGGTGTCGGATCTCAAAGTCGAATCCCAGCAGCTTAATGGCCCAGCGAGCGTTTCTTCCCGTCAGCTCCTGATGAGTCATCAACCATAGCAACGGCTGGTGATCAGTCACAAGTGTGAAGCGCCGACCCTGCAGGTACACCTTGAAGTGAGTGATCCCCCATACAGCTGTCAGGCCCTCCCCCTCGTAAGAGAAGTAGTTAGCCTCGGATGGGCTGCAGCTGTGGCTGGCGAAGGCTACCACTCTCTCCTCTCCTTCTATCTCTTGGCAGAGCACTGCCCCCATTCCTGTGCTGCTCCAGTCGGTGTATAAGATGAAAGGGGCATCTGCCCTCGGTATCTGCAGCAGCGTTCCCGTTCGTACTGCTTCTAACAGGTCCTGCCTTGCCGTTTCCTCCAGCTCTCCCCACTGCCAGCTCCTCCCTTCCTTCAGCAGCTGATTCAGTATGTAGGCTCGGCGGCTGAAGTTCGGTACGAACTTCCTGTAATAATTCAGGAAGCCGAGTAACGCCCGCAGCCCGGTCTTATCCTTTGGTGCTGCCAGGTTCTCCAGCACCTTAACTTTTGCTTCCTGTATCGCCAGCCGGCCCCCTTTCACTTCAAAGCCCAGGTAAGCCACGGTCTGCCTTGCTATCTTGCACTTGTCTGGATGGCACGTCAGACCCGCAGCTGCTATAGCCTCTAGCGTCTGCTTCAGATCTTGCACGTGCTGCTCTTCACTGCTGCTGAAAATCAGTATATCATCTATGTAGCAGGCTGCTGCTGGAATCCCCTTCAGCACCTGATCCATGGCCCGCTGGAACACTGCAGGGGCGTTGCGTATCCCGAAGGGCATCACATTGTACTCATACAGCCCATCCACCCCGTGAAACGCCGTTTTCCGTTTGTCTTCCTCCCTGATGGCTATCTGGTTGAACCCCTGTCGCAGGTCCAAGGTGGTGAAGATGATGGCGCCTTCTAAGCGATCAAAGATGTCTTCTGCTGTTGGCATGGGGTACCTGTCCGGGCTGGTAATCTTGTTCAGCTCCCGAAAATCTCCACACATCCTTTTCGCCAGCACTTTACCCGTGATATCCTTCCTGGCAGCTACCACTGTGGCTGCTGCGTAGCTTGACTCGGACGGGCGGATAATCCCTGCTGCTAGCAGCTCCTCACACTTCTCCTTGCAGATAGCCGCATCCTCTGCATTCATTCTCCTTCTTCGTTGGTAAGTGGGTATCTCTGTGGTAAGGTTTAGCTCCAGCTCTCTTCCCTTGTACCTCCCCAATTCCTGCAGGTTATAGGCGAAAGTGCTCCTGTGCTGGCGCAGCACCTCTCTGATTGCTTCCGCCGTCTGCTCCTTGATGTCCGTACCTAGCTTCCATTCCTTACCCTGCTCAGCTTCTTTGCCCCCTGCTAGTGCCGCAACATTCTCCTTTCCTCCCGTGCCCTGCTCAACAGCTGCATACGCCGCCTGCTTCTCTCCTTGTCCTTGCCTTTTTCCGGTCTCTCCTCCCTTATCAGCTGCCCCCTTCCTCATCTCTTTGATTAACCATCTCAGCGAGTGCTGGTCTATGGCTCTTCCTAAAGCTGCTCTGCGCATCCCTTCCTCTACCCCTTCTGCTGCGGTTGCTCCTGGCAGGTATCCCATGGCTAACTCCCGCTCCAAAGCCGTCGGTTCCTCCCACTTCTTCTTCCGGTGATCGTACACCATCCCTGGTCCTGGTATTCCGTCCACCTCGATGAAACCTTGTGCCCTGGTGTATGTCACTAATGTAGGCCATGCCCTGCGAGCTTCCCCCACCCGGTTGCACTGGTACTGCCGCGGATGATCTGGTTTTACCACTGGTGCCGCCACCCTCCCTGGTTCTAAAATATCCTCTACTATCCTGCTTTCGTCCCTCTCCACTCTTGCTAGTCTTGCCCTCAGTTCCCCGTCTGGCAAGACGTTTTGCCAGTACTGCCGCACCCTATGACAGCGTGCCCCCAACTGTGCCCCATCACAGCTCACTCCTCTCCCCAGTTCTGCCTCCACCAGCTCCCTTACTGCCCTGACCGGCTCGCGTACGTCATTCCTCATATCCACATGCTCCAGGATGTAAGCATATTCTCCATTCACTTCACTCGTCCACTTCATTATGGTGAGTAGCTTGGTCACCATCCCCGTGCGCTCGTCCTGTAAGCCTTTCCCCTTTCCGGCCCTAGAAGTACCCTGACACTCCCATCCCGCCACTAACAAATCCACTTTACCCCAGCTGCTCACGTCTTCTTTCGTGAGCTGCCCCACGTCCCATTTCTTGTTCTGCATGGCCTCCCGTAGTACTTCTTTCGTCAGCTGCGCGGGGTACTGCTGCTGTAACATTTGAGCATGCTTCCATGCCATTCTCCTCACCTCTGGGTCCAATTCTACGTATACCCACTTCTTCACCCTCAGGCCTGCTTCCAAGGCTGCTGCCAAGCCCGCTCCTATTCCCCCGAACAGCTCCACTAGTGTAATGCTATACTGATCCAGGTGAGCGCTGCCGTTGCTCTTCCCCACACTTCCTCCCCTCTTGCTGTTCTTCCTCAGTCCTTCTGCTCTCCACGCCTTCTTGGGTTCTGTCTTAACAAACCGTACTGGTAGTTCACTCAGCTCCTTCCCTTCCTCCCAAAAGTCCGAACGGTAGAGCACCTGCTCCTGCCAGGTACAGATAGTGGTGCCTATCTTGAACAGCAGCTCTATTCCTAGTAGGATATCATAGTCTTCTGATTCTGTCAACCCACACTGCACTCTGATAGTGGTCTCCCCCTTCTCTCCCGGCTGTAAGGTTATCTCTATCAGGTCCCGTGTGCATGGCATCCACTTGGGGGCCCCTCCTTCTGCTGTCATGATCAGTATGCCCTTGCTTACAGTCTCTAGGTTCCCTTGCGCTCGCAGTTGTGCCGTCAGCTTCTTCCCGATTAGGACGCTCTGTGCTCCTCTATCCACTACCGCGTTTTCTACCAAGATTCCTCTGACCGCCACGGCTTTCGGTTCCACCACTAAGGCTGTGGGCTGACAGACTAGCCTTTCCTCGGGGTGACGCCGTGCGGTGCTGACTTTCCCTTGATTCTCCTGCCGCCTGGAAATTCTCCACTCTTGTAATTTCTGCTCCGCTCTGCCATCTGCCCCTCCGCTGCGCAGCCCCAGGTCTCCCCTCTCCCTTGGCGGCATAGCCATGGTCCCGTATTCTGGTTCCCCTTCCTCAGAATCTTCCCCTTCGTCATCCCCCCAAGCCAGCAGAGCTTTCTCGGGGTCTTCACTGATCCCTGATTTCTCCATCTGAGCTTTCAGTTTCGCCAACTCTCGTTCTAACTGCAGCTCCCTTGCAGTTTTCCCTTTCGCCCTGTCTCCCTTGCTGTAGCATCTAGCTTCGGTATGGCCTTTCTTCCCACACCCCGTGCAGGTCGGCGCCTTGGGGCAGTCACGCCTGAAATGTCCCTTTGCTCCACAGGTGTCGCAGATTATTCCCACCGTACAATCCCTCCGAAGATGTCCTTGCTCTCCACATTTATGGCAGCGTCTCGGGTCTTCCGATGGCCTCTCTTTCCGCTCTTCCTCTCCCCTTCTTCCTTCCATAGCTGCCCAGGCCGGCCGTCTCCGCTCGTTCGGTCGGCTGGAACTCGACCCCTGCATGCCATCATAAAATCTCTTCCCTTCCTCCACTTCTTTCGCCACCTTGTAGACTTGCCGCAGCGTGGCGCGTACTCCCAGGACGTACAGCTGACTCCTCATGTCGCCTATCAGGTCCTTGTCCAGACCGTTGACAAATTTCGTCACCAAGAGGCGCTCCTCCATACACCCCATGTCCTCTGCCAGCTCCAGCAGCCTGTTGTAATAGGCTAGCAGCGACTCCGAAGTGGCACGCACGAAGTTCTGAAATTCCGCCATCCGTTCCGCCGAGTGCCCCGGGAATTGCTCCTGCAAACTCTCCAGAAATCGGTCCGTTATCATTGCTGGTGAGAAATCGCCTCTCTTGCACTGCATCAACAGCCCCTGCCTTTCCACGCGGTAGTGAGTCAGGGCCTCGCCTTTCAGAGTCCGTCCCAAACCTCTAAAGAACTCGATAGGGTCTAAGCCCTCCCTCTCCCAAAGGTAACGCAGGTCGTCTATCATCATCAAGTAGTTCTTGAGCGTGGGCTCCTCCCCTGGTGTCCCCGAGAAACGGTCCGGCACTTCAATTTTCGGTAGAGCTGCGTTCATCGTGCGGCCCGTCCCCCAGCTCGTGTTCCCTCTATCCCCGCTGTCCACCGGCCGACCACCTTGCCTAGCTTCAGTAGCCTCGTATCCACCCGCCGAAAAGCTGTGGTACGCTTCTCCTCCTCTCTGACGGCGTCTTTCTTCGTGATGTTCATCTTCCCCGCGCTGACTGTGCCGTTCTTCCCGAAACTCTTCTCTTCCTTGAGCAGGATTATCCCCTCGAGATCCACTCCTCACATAGCCGATTCCACTCCCGCCAGCGACTGATCCACCAGTAGCGCTAGGCGGCGGCTCCCCTTGTCGGTCGCCCTCCCTCTCTCGATCTGATCCCTGACCCCCGCGCGCGTTAGCATCGCCCTCTTCAGCACGGAATCCAGGTGTCCTGATTGGTAGGCCTTGTCCCTCCATCATCCTTGCAGGGAAACGGAGTCCCGAGCGCAGCTGATGAGTGTGCAGTTCCTGATCGTGCCTACTCATTCCTCACGGCGCATCACCGTGAGCGACTCGAGGCTACTAGCTTATCTCCTGTACTTAAGACAGTCAACAACCTTTTTGCTTGTATGTAGCAAGCGTAACACTCCCCCTCAGGGGCTCCGTCAAATTGCTTATAGCTTCTCCTACTGCTAGTTCCCTCTGGATTAGGAAAACAAATTGCAGTAAATGAGAAACATACAAGCAAAAAGCAAGAAGCCCGAGTGCTACTCCTGCCTACATCTATTCCCACCCCCTGCCTAGGTTGCTTCCTCCACAAGCAAGCTCCTGTGCACCAAGCGAGTCAGCCGGGCTGCTCGCGAGGTCTCCAAGGTGCTAGCTGTGTTCCCACTGGGCCCACTAGGCATGCACTGCCTTCCAGCCTGGTGACTTCGAATTCAATTCCCAGGCTGGCATTGAATTCGCCTTCCAGCCTTGTGACTTCGAAATTGAATTCACAGGCTGGAATTGAATTCGTCTCCACCAACCTCCTTGAATTCGCCTCCCACTAACCACCTCAAATTCCCCAGCTACTCGGCTCTGCAGTACAGTACAATACACTCCAAGCACACAAATGAAATTAGAGTACAAAAGCGGTAAACTATAGTACACCCTCACCTTGGCTGCTGTGGTATTCACACTTAGTTGCCAGCTAAGTGTTAATAACGCGACAACGGGCGTGCGGGGTGCAGGGCGGTGTGCAGGGGGGTGTGCAGGGCGGTGTGCAGGGCGGTGTGCAGGGGGGTGTGCAGGGCGGTGTGCGGGCGGTGTGCAGGGCGGTGTGCAGGGGGGTGTGCAGGGCGGTGTGCAGGGCGGTGTGCAGGGCGGTGTGCAGGGCGGTGTGCAGGGCGGTGTGCAGGGCGGTGTGCAGGGCGGTGTGCAGGGCGGTGTGCAGGGCGGTGTGCAGGGCGGTGTGCAGGGCGGGGTGCAGGGCGGTGTGCAGGGGGGTATCCCATCTTCCCACCCACCTTCACACTCGCGCCCAGCTCGCTTAAAGGTGCCTGGCATGAGCACTAGAGTGCGGTTGGTGCGCATGGCAATGCTCAGATACGCCCCCACCACATGGATCATGCTCCCCATCCCATGGTGCAGCCCGGGCCTCTACCCCTCCCACTCCTGGTGCATGCATGAGGGACGGTGTCGTGAATCTTCCTCTGTCCACCCTCATTCCCTTTCTCCCCTGTGTAACCTGCTGACTTCTCCTTCTCTCCTTCCTTCCCTGCCACCCGTACTGCTGATCAGGTTCATCCCTTCTTCCTCCTGGCGTATGTAATCACTCTGTCCTGCACTCCTCCTGGTACCTCAGGCTTCCCTTGTAGCAAGCGTAACACTCCCCCTCAGGGGCTCCGTCAAATTGCTTATAGCTTCTCCTACTGCTAGTTCCCTCTGGATTAGGAAAACAAATTGCAGTAAATGAGAAACATACAAGCAAAAAGCAAGAAGCCCGAGTGCTACTCCTGCCTACATCTATTCCCACCCCCTGCCTAGGTTGCTTCCTCCACAAGCAAGCTCCTGTGCACCAAGCGAGTCAGCCGGGCTGCTCGCGAGGTCTCCAAGGTGCTAGCTGTGTTCCCACTGGGCCCACTAGGCATGCACTGCCTTCCAGCCTGGTGACTTCGAATTCAATTCCCAGGCTGGCATTGAATTCGCCTTCCAGCCTTGTGACTTCGAAATTGAATTCACAGGCTGGAATTGAATTCGTCTCCACCAACCTCCTTGAATTCGCCTCCCACTAACCACCTCAAATTCCCCAGCTACTCGGCTCTGCAGTACAGTACAATACACTCCAAGCACACAAATGAAATTAGAGTACAAAAGCGGTAAACTATAGTACACCCTCACCTTGGCTGCTGTGGTATTCACACTTAGTTGCCAGCTAAGTGTTAATAACGCGACAACGGGCGTGCGGGGTGCAGGGCGGTGTGCAGGGGGGTGTGCAGGGCGGTGTGCAGGGCGGTGTGCAGGGGGGTGTGCAGGGCGGTGTGCGGGCGGTGTGCAGGGCGGTGTGCAGGGGGGTGTGCAGGGCGGTGTGCAGGGCGGTGTGCAGGGCGGTGTGCAGGGCGGTGTGCAGGGCGGTGTGCAGGGCGGTGTGCAGGGCGGTGTGCAGGGCGGTGTGCAGGGCGGTGTGCAGGGCGGTGTGCAGGGCGGTGTGCAGGGCGGGGTGCAGGGCGGTGTGCAGGGGGGTATCCCATCTTCCCACCCACCTTCACACTCGCGCCCAGCTCGCTTAAAGGTGCCTGGCATGAGCACTAGAGTGCGGTTGCTGCGCATGGCAATGCTCAGATACGCCCCCACCACATGGATCATGCTCCCCATCCCATGGTGCAGCCCGGGCCACCGCGACAGCATCAGCCGCCGCCCGGTACAGCTGGCGGGGAACTGGTGCCGCCACATGTCGCGCTGCACGCCACGTGTCATCGCGAGATTGGCTGCATCAGAGCCTCGTACCTGGATACGGAGGGAGGGTTGAGTGGGTGAAGGATTTTGAGTCGATTCAAAAATCGCCTCTTGGGTGCTGGGGAAAGCAGAGTGACGAACGGGTGGAGGTGAGAGAAAGAAAGAGTTTCTGAGAATTCTCAAAAACTCCCTGCAATTTTCAAAAACCGCCTCTTGGGTGTTGGGGAAACAGAGGGACGAACGGGTGGAGGTGAGAGAAATGGGAGGAACGGGCGAGGATGGTGGTGCAGGTTGAAAGGGTCTAGTTTTGAGGCGCCTCAAAACTATGGTGGTGCAGGTTGGAGGGGGAGGGGGAAGGGAGCAGGGGAGGGTAGGCGGAAGGGAGGTGACTTTTGAGTCGATTAAAAAGTCACCTGAGGGACGAACGGGTGGAGGTGAGAGAAAGAGGAGGAACGGGCGAGGATGGTGGTGCAGGTTGGAGGGGGAGGGGGGAAGGGAGCAGGGGAGGGCAGGCGGAAGGGAACTGGTGGAAGGAAACTGGCGGAAGGGAGCTGGCAGAAGGGAACTGGCGGAAGGGAGCAGGCGGAAGGGAGCACCCACCCATCCATCCATGCATGCACCCACCCATCCATGCATGCACCCACCCATCCATGCATGCATCCACCCACCCATGCATGCACCCACCCATCCATGCATGCACCCACCCACCCATGCATGCATCCACCCACCCATGCATGCACCCACCCACCCATGCATGAATGCACCCACCCACCCATGCATGCACTCACCCACCCATGCATGCACTCACCCACCCATGCATGCACCATTCCCCCACCCACTCACCCAGGGTGGCTGGGGGCCGCACTTACAACACCCCTTCCCATCATCCCCGCTTCCCCCGCTTCCCCCACTCTCGCCCTTGCCCCCATTTCCCGCATCCCCCCCGCTGCCTCCGCAGCACTCCCCAGGCTCCCCGCGCGCCCATGCAGGGAGGCTTCCGTCCTCCCCCCTCTCTTCCGCCGCCTGGCGCGCAGCGGTGCGCGCGGAGCAGTCTTCGAGGTGGGGCGGAAGGGGAACGTTGGGGGGAAGGACGAGCGGCGAAGGGGGGAGGAGGGTGGAGGCATTCTCGAGGCCGTACGCCTGTGACCATGTCTGGTGGTGATTATAACGGAAGGGAAGGGAAAGCCATGAAAAAATATTAGGTTCAGAATGGCAAGTCAGTCGCTCACACTGAGTGAAGTGAAGACTTTGATAGTTGACTTAACCAAGACACTCACGTTGAATAGCGCCTGGGATTTGGTTTCGTGTTCCTGACTGGCGAACGGGTTACCAGCTTCGGCGACGGTCGCTAAGTGCGCTAGCGGTAGCAGCATCAGCCACGTCAGCCAGGACATTGCGTCTGGGGGCGCACGTGTGTGCCGTCTCCACGCATGTGTAAAGGTTTGGCACTGTATCACGCAAATCAATACAATCGTAAGTCTGCAGTTTCGTTTTAACGTATTTACTTTTGAGAATCAACCAACACCTTTAGCGGGTACGCTAGCCAGTGAAATTTCGGTGAGCAGTGTATCAAATCACATCGCGATACCTTACACGTGGAGAGCCATTCAGTGCGATACAGTACGTTTCGATGCGTTCTACACGTACCATGTTTCAAGGGGCGTCACGGTTGAGCGAAACGGCCCTGCACCACCGAAACATGTCGTTGGTTGGTTGCGAAAATTTGGGCTGTCGTAGATTCAACATTGTGCGACTTTCACCACTCTGCCAGGGCGACAGACAAGCACCTTTTGCAATTGTGCCCTGCCCTCTGGATGGTCCTGGCAGTTACTGTACAAAGAAAATCTGGTTCGTTGTTCCAGCATGCTGCATTAATTTTGTTAGGGAGCATGCTGGAAATGGGCTGTACAGCCGTCATAAACAGCTCATTTACTGTAGCGAGTCTTATTTTACTGTTTTGATGTTAGCGCACAGGTCTTTGGCAACAGCACCACAATCATCGGTTGGGGGGGGCTGTCTGTCTTCGCACAAGAAGTTCAACAAATCACTGCCGTAGATTCATGTACCGGACGCAGTGTGCAATCTTTGCTGTGTTGCTTCCAGGAGGATCTAGAACTCGTCGGGTCGCTGCTGCAGCATCCGTCAGATTCACGCGCCCTCAAATCTATCCATCTTTTCTCACCGACAAATACGTGGTCCTCAGACCTGCACAGCTGTCATATTATGTCGCGAGTGCTGGTTACCCGCATCGCCTTAGTCGCCCGAATCTCATCCCATCACGTGTGGTACGCTGGAGGAATGATCAGTTTTACAGCACAGCAGCGAACAGCGAACCAACGCCATGGTCAAATCTAGGGTTTCCTTTCCAATCCAACACCCGGCTTTTGTCTCTGCTGCATGCCTTTCTTGGCAACAGGCATTCCTTCCAGCTTCCGAGAGAAAATGACACCTGGAGCCCGCTCGTGACATTGTGGTTGACATCAACTTTACATCATCAAAGAGCTTGCCTAAACGTACGGTCAGCCTATCTCGATGGCGTTTTCCTTATCTCTAGCTTGGCTTGGCCGCTTACTGCAATCCGTACCGAAGTTGTTGGCGTTGGAGGCTGTTTGTCACAGGGCAAACCCAGTAAACCCTTAGGAATAACTTCGTGTAGATGAGTAAACTGAATTAGGTGAAGGACGTAACCGTTATCAAGTCATTGGAATTCCTCGAATCGTCGTATGTGTCTATCTCGCCTTCGTGCGATCGCCGATCCGATCTCTCAATCCATCTCCAGGGCGTTCCACTTTACTAGCAAAATCATATTCCTGTTCATGTAGTTTAGGGTCGAGCGGTTGCTCTTACAAAACTTTGTTTTCTTTTGGTTTATTTAGCTAACTTTAATAGTCCTCTCAGCAATGGAGGTAACCAGCAAAGCCGCGCGGGAAGGATCCCGCGCGGGCGGGGGAGGCGAGGCCTCCAGTCGGCGCAACGGTGGGGAAAGAGAGGGCCGCGGATCGATGAGCGGAACAAAGCGGGAGCGCGGCGGGGGCGCGTGGGGCGCGGAGAGCAGCGGTCCCGCCGGGCGCAGTGGAGCCGGCGGAGCGGGGGGAGCCGGGGGGAGTTCCGCGGGGGCGGGCGCGGAGAAGAAGGTGAAGGTGATGCAGCGCGGGCACGGCATTGCGCACCTGGAAAAGCTCCGCCTGCAGGAATTGCGCAACGCGGAACTAGAGCGGTCGCAGCAGCAACAGCAACAACAACAGCAGCAGCTGCGACAGCTTCAGCAACAGGACCCCTCAAGCCTCCTAACCTCTTCCGCGGCCCTCCAAGCCCTAGGCCTCGGCGGACTCTTCCCCTTACCTCCCCCCGTCGCTTCCTCCTCTCTCGCGTCGCTCTCCGCCCCTCTGGGGCCGCTTTCTGACAACCTCGCGACAGCTGCGGCGGCGGCGGCGGCAGCGGCCGCCGCGTCCGATCCGCTATTAAGTATCGCTGCTAGAAGGCAGCTATCGCTACTTGCCGCGTCGCGATCGTTATCCAGCGATTTCGCGGATCGAATGCGCGTGGGGGGAGATCGATCTGTGGTGGGCGGAGGAAGCGGGGCGGGCGGAAGCTTGGGCGGGCTGGGCGCAGCGCTTGGGGGCCTGAGCGGAACGACGGGGAGCAGTCCGGGCGGACACGAGCGGGTTCCGCTCGACGTGGTGATGGCAGCTTCGGCAGGCGCAGCTTTGGGCAGAGAAGGATTCCACAGGCTCGGCGGAGGCTTGGGCGGAGGTTTGGGCGGTGGCTTGTTTGGTGCGGGTGGATTAGGGCTTGGCGGGGGGTTTGGCGGAGGGCTGGGGGCCGGCGCAGCGGGGACGCGGGGAGGGACCGCGAGCGAAGGAGGCGCGGGGTTCGGGAGTATCTTTGGGGGGGGGTTGAGGGGGGCGGCGGTGGCGGCGGCCGCGGCAGCTGCGCACGCAGCGAGTACGGGAAGGGCCGGCACTGGCGGAGCGATGCAGTCGCTTAGCGAGTTCGCCATCCGGCGGCTTCAGATCCTGGTGAGCGGAGTGATGCTGAAAGCCGTTGGTTTTGCATAAAATAGTCCGGCTCTGAGGCTCTTAAAAACTTGAACCCGACAGGTTCAGATCCTGGTGAGTGGAGTGACGCTTGGAGCCATGGAACATCTTTTCTTTCCTTTTTCCAAAGGATGCTTTATTATTTTTCTTTTTTTCTTCTTTTGTTTGCTTGCTTACGTGTTTTTCGTTTCATTTTTATTTCCTGCGGGCTGCCTTTTTTGATTTTCTGGGCGCGGTCCCGGCCCTCCCCTCCGTAGAACGACTTACGGCAGGTGGAATCAGCAGGCGGGGGATCGAATCTCGACGTTGGCGCGTTTGGCGGCGCAGGGGGGCCGGGGGGCGGGAGTGTGGCGATCGGCGCGGGGTACAACTCGTGGGAGGTCGACAGCAGCTCGCGCACCCCAGGGTCCCGCGGAACAGCCCTGGACGCAGCGCTAGGCGCAGCGCCGGGGGGAGCGTCAGGGGGAACGCCAGGGGGAACGTTCGGGGGAACGTTAGGATCGGCCGCAGGGGGGGGTCTTGCTGGGGCGGCTTCTTCCCGCGGGCTGTCTAATCTCGCATCAGGCGCGCGCGCAGGCGGGGGAAGCGCGGAGATGAGCGCTGGCGGGGCCGTCGGAAGCGGAATGGGCGCTGGGGGCGCGGCTATAAGCGCTGGGGGAGGCGGTAGCCCGGGGGGAAGCTCGCTTTCCGCGCATCTGCCCAGCGCCGTGCCTCTTTCCGCCACTGGCGCGGGGCTGGGGCCTTCTGGTTTGCGCCACAGCAGCTATGGGGGGGATGGGGGAACGGAGGGGTCACCCTTTGGGGGAGGCAGAGGCGGAGGCGGGGGCGGAGGGGGAGGCGGAGGGGGAGGGGGGGTGGGCGGCGGAAGGAATCTTGAGGAGGAAAGCGGGAAAAAGGGTTTTTTGGGGGGATTTGACCAGAGGCGGGGTAGTGGGGGGAATGATGCTAGTGGGGAGCGACTGGGGGCGGGAGAGGGCGGAAGGGGCGCAATGTTTGGGCTAGGGGCGGGCAGGAGGGAGGAGGAGGAGAAGGTGGGCAGAGAAAGGGCTTTCCCAGTGCATCACACACACCCGTTCATGCAGTAAGTTGTTACTACCGTACCGTACCGTACTGTACTGTACCGCACTGTTCCCTAGCCTTGCGTCAGATTCAGCACCTTCACCCTTGCTTTTTGATGGCACCAGCACCACACACACCCATTCATGCTGTAATCTCACGCATCATTCTCTGATCATATATCCTGTTTTGAGGCGCCTCAAAACTAGACTTCTCTGATCATATATCCTGTCTTCCCCTCCATCCCGATTCCCCCTCCCCGCCCTCCCTCCCCTTCCCCCGCTTCCTTCCTTTCTGCCCCCTCCCAAATATTTTCTGCGGTCCCGTTCCTTCCCGCAGTAGCTCCCGAACCGTGTCCGAGCCTGTGAGTGGAGCCTCGGCATCGCTCATCGCATCCCTCTCCTCGCGAATCCTTGCCGAAGCTCACATGCGCGAGGCTGCAGCGGCAGGAGCGGCGGGAGGAATGGGAGGAGCAGGGGCAGGAGGAATAGGAGGAGCAGGAGGAGGAGCAGGGGCAGCAGGAGTGGCAGGAGCACCAGGGGCAGCAGGTATCACCTATGCTAACTCCCCAGCAGCTGCTGCAGCGGCAGCAGCCGCCGCAGCAGCGCATCTGAATCACCTAAACGCGGCAGCAGCAGCATCGGCAGCAACAGCAGCAGCGGCAACAGCAGCGGCAACTGCAGTGGCAACTGCAGCAGCAACAGCAGCAGCGCACTTCGGAAATTTGGCAGACCTAGACCCAACAGCAGCAGCAGCTGCTGCAGCAGCGGCGGCAGCAGCGGCGGCAGCAGCAGCAACCACAGCGCAACAACCCCCCAACCCTTCCTCCTCCCCCTCCCCAGGACAGGCGCTTTCCCCATTTCCTTCCCCAGCCTCCCCATTCTCCCCTGCCTCTTTAGCCGATTCTCTCCTTTTGAACCGTCTCAAGGCGGAGTCTCATTTGAGAGACTTGGCAGCAAGAGATTCGAAAGCGGCGGATTCGGCTCGCAGAGACGTGAAGGCGGATGATTTGGGTCCAAGAGACGTGAAAACGGCGAGCATGGAGGAACAGTTACAAGGTTTGAAAGCGGCTCAAGAAGCAAGAGCATCGCAAGAGGCGAAAGCAGCACACCTGGCTTTTAGGCTGCAGTTAGAGGGGCGTCTGGGACCACAGGAGGCAGCACGGCAGCTGGATGCGTTTTCTGAGGCGCCACAGCAAAGCCAAAACGTGTTTTCTGAGCCCAGAGGAACGGATTTGGCGCCTTTTGAGGCTCCCAGAGGAACGGATTTGTCGCTGATTCTTGAGTCGGCGCGAAAAGCGGCGCAGGAGTCGAAAGCTGCGGACTTGGCTTTAAGGCTGCAGCTAGAGGGGAGGCTGGGACTGCAGGAGGCAGCACGGCAGCTGGAAGCGGCTAGGCTAGCCGCTGCTGGGGTTTTTGGGGGGGTGGGAGCAGGGGTAGGGGGGAGAGGCGGGGAGGTAGGCGCAGGGGTAGGCGCAGGGGGAGGGGGAGGGGGAGGGGGAGGGGGAGGGGGAGGGGGAAGCGCGGGGTCAGGCGCGGGGGGAGGGGGATTGGAGGAAGCTGGAGCAGGAATGGGAGCAGGTGTTGGGAAAGGGGGAGGATTAGGGCTGGGGATTGGAGGTGGGGAGATGGGTGCAGGAGGGAGAGAGGGAGGTGGGTCCGTGCAGAAGGGGGAGAAGGAGAATCACATGTTTGGAACGGTTTTTGAGGCGCCTGAGAAGAATAGGTCGTTTGAAGCTGCTTCAAAGGCTGGTGGTGCTGGTGGGGATATATCAGGAGGGCGAGGTGGAGAGGGGTTTGGAAAGCAGGGGGAGGGAAGCATGGGTCGGAAAGTGGCTGAGCAGGGAGAGTGGTTTGGAAAGCAGGGGGGGTCTAGACTGACGGAGGGTGGGGAGAAGAGACGGAAGGAGGAGGGGGTGGATGAGGAAGAAGGGGGATGGAAGGGACGTGAGGGTATGGCAAAGAGGGGAAGGAGAGAGGAGGTGACAGAGGAGGTGAGGGGTGTGGGGGATGAGGGGAGGAGGACGAGAGGAGTGGGAGGTGTGGGAGGGATGGGGGAGGGGCAAGGGCAGGGGGTGCAGGTTCCGGCGAATTTCTTCCTGAATAGGTGGGCTTCGGTGGGGAGGAGTAAGAAGGAGTTGGAATCGGCAGCAGGGGGTTCGGTAGGTGCACCTGAAGCAGCACCAGCAGCAGCATTGGGAGCAGCAGCAGCAGCAGCGGCAGCAGTATCTCCAGCACGGAAAACAGCAGCATCAGTGGCAGCAGCAGCCGGTGCTCCAGCCGGTGCCGCTACAGCTGGTGCCGCTACAGCCGCTGGTGCTACAGGCGTAAATGCTTCAGCTGCTGGCTCTGGTAATGCAGGCGTGGAGACTAAGTGGACTTTTGAGGCGCCTCAAAAGTCGTCTGGCGCTGATAATGCAGGCGTGGAGACTAAATGGTCGAGTTTTGAGACGTCTCAGAACGCTACAGGCGTCAATGCTACAGCTGCTGGCGCTGATAATGCAGGCGTGGAGACTAAGTGGTGGCGGCGAGTGAATCTTAACCTGGAAGAGGCAGGTGCAATGAGGAGCAGTGATCGGGTGGTGCTTAATAAGGACGAAGCTGGGTTAAGTGGCAGTGGTGTCGGCAGCGTGGGAGGCGTTGGGTCGACTGGTGGTGCTACAGATGGTGCTGGTGATGCTACAGATGGGGCTGGTGGTGCTACAGACGGGGCTGCTACGGGTGGTGGTGCCGGCGAGGCTGGTAGAGGTGCTGCAACAGAAGATGCTACAGCCGGTGCTACAGGTGGTGCTACAGGTGGTTGCGCTGAAACTGGTGAGGCTGCTTCTGTTGGTTTTGGCGGTGGTGTGTTGTACGAGGAGGAGCGGAGGATAGCTGGGAAGGGGAGAGCAGAGAATGAAGAGAAGGGGAGAGCGGAGGAGACAGGGAGAACGGAGGTGAAAGGGAGAGAGGAGGAGAGGATAGGTAAGGAGGGGAGAAGAGTTAAAGAGGAAAGGGAGGTGGAAGACTGGAGGACAGGCGGGGAGAGCCGAGCAGTGGAGGAGAAAAGGAGAGCAGCGGATGGGGAGAGGGTAGTGAAAAAGGAGGGAGCAGTGGAGGAGGAGAGGGCAGTTGAAGAGGAGAGAGCGGTAAAGGACTTGAGAAGCAACATGGTTAAGTGCTTGGGGGAGGAAGTGGCTCGACGGGTCTTTGCCGCCATGCAGTCTCAGGAGGAGGAGTGCGGCAGGCAGATTCGCGAGCTGCATGAGTTACATGAGGTGCGGTGCGCGTGCGTGTGCTTGCTTGGGTTGGGTTGGGTGGCTTGGGGGGGGGAGTGGCTGGACGGGTCTTTGCCGCCATGCAGTCTCAGGAGGAGGAGTGCGCTAGGCAGATTCGCGAGCTGCACCATCTACCATGAGGTGCGGTGCACGTGTGTGTGCTTGCTTGGGTTGAGTGGCTTGGGCCTTGGGGTGAGTCTATGTCTGAGTCGACTCAAAAATAGACTCGTCTCAGGAAGAGGAGTGCAGCAGGCAGATTCGCGAGCTGCATCGTTTACTTGAGGTGTGTGTACTGTGTGTGTGTTCTGTAAGTCGAGTTTTGAGTCGACTCAAAACTTGTGTGTGTGCTTGCTTCTGAAAAATCTCTAGAGTCACATCGTTTACATGAGGTGTGTGTGTGTGTACTGTGTGTGTGTGTACTGTGTGTGTGTGCTGTGTGTGTGTGCTGTGTGTGTGCTGTGTGTGTGTGCTGTGTGTGTGTACTGTGTGTGTGTACTGTGTGTGTGTGCTTGCTTCTGAGAATTCTCTAGAGTGCGCGTGAGTCACATCATTTACATAGGTGCGCATGTGTGTGTGCCCCTGTTTTCCTCTCCCCCACGCTCTCCCCCCTTTCCCCCCTTCCCCACCCCCTTTCCTCCGTCTTCTATGTCCACAGAAGCAGCGGCAGCTCCTATCTCAGCTACAGCCGGCAGTATTATCACACATAGGTGTTGTGTCATTGCTTCTGCCCTGCTCCCTTTGCCCCTGTTTCCCTCTTCCCCACTCCCCCCCACACCCCACCCTTCCTCCTCCGTTTCCTATGTCCACAGAAGCAGCGGCAGCGCTCAGGTACAACCGGCAGAGATACTCACGAGACATAATAATTCTCTCCGTATGAAATCCGCGTGTAGGGAGGTGCATTTTGAGGCGCCTCAAAAGGCAGCGCGCAGAGATACTCACGAGACGTCTCAAAAGCCGGCAGAGATACTCACGAGACGTCTCAAAAGCCTGCAGAGATACTCACGAGATGTCTCAAAAGCCGGCAGAGATACTCACGAGACGTCTCAAAAGCCGGCAGAGATACTCACGAGACGTCTCAAAACAAAAGCCGGCAGAGATACTCACGAGACGTCTCAAAAGCCGGCAGAGATACTCACGAGACGTCTCAAAAGCCGGCAGAGATACTCACGAGACGTCTCAAAAGCCGGCAGAGATACTCACGAGACGTCTCAAAAGCCGGCAGAGATACTCACGAGACGTCTCAAAAGCCGGCAGAGATACTCACGAGACGTCTCAAAAGCCGGCAGAGATACTCACGAGACGTCTCAAAAGCCGGCAGAGATACTCACGAGACGTCTCAAAAGCCGGCAGAGATACTCACGAGACGTCTCAAAAGCCGGCAGAGATACTCACGAGACGTCTCAAAAGCCGGCAGAGATACTCACGAGACGTCTCAAAAGCCGGCAGAGATACTCACGAGACGTCTCAAAAGCCGGCAGAGATACTCACGAGACGTCTCAAAAGCCGGCAGAGATACTCACGAGACGTCTCAAAAGCCGGCAGAGATACTCACGAGACGTCTCAAAAGCCGGCAGAGATACTCACGAGACGTCTCAAAAGCCGGCAGAGATACTCACGAGACGTCTCAAAAGCCGGCAGAGATACTCACGAGACGTCTCAAAAGCCGGCAGAGATACTCACGAGACGTCTCAAAAGCCGGCAGAGATACTCACGAGACGTCTCAAAAGCCGGCAGAGATACTCACGAGACGTCTCAAAAGCCGGCAGAGATACTCACGAGACGTCTCAAAAGCCGGCAGAGATACTCACGAGACGTCTCAAAAGCCGGCAGAGATACTCACGAGACGTCTCAAAAGCCGGCAGAGATACTCACGAGACGTCTCAAAAGCCGGCAGAGATACTCACGAGACGTCTCAAAAGCCGGCAGAGATACTCATGAGACGTCTCAAAAGCCGGCAGAGATACTCACGAGACGTCTCAAAAGCCCCCAACCCCCCCTCCTCCGCCCCCTCCCCGTCCCCCTCCTCTCCTTCCGCCCTTCCTTTCATGTCCACAGAAGCAGCGGCAGCTTCTGTCTCAGCTACAGCCGGCAGACATACCACCTCCCTCCTCCACCCCCACCTCATCCCTCCCCTTCCCTGCTGCTGCTCCTCGCTCCACCTCCTCCCTTCCCTCCCTGGCTGCTGCTCCTCCCGCGACCTCTCTCCATATGGGTGGAGGAGAAGCAACAGCAACAGCAACAGCCCCCCCTGCTACTCGCCCTTCCACCCTCTCTCCTACCGTTTCCGCACCTCTTTCCCGCAGCAGACCCACACCCAGTAAGTAATCCCAGTCTTTAGTCCGAGCTCTCTTGTCCCACATGGTGGTTGAATCTACTTCTGAGAATTCTCCAAGCCTCAACTCCCTATTTGCTCCTTCCTTTCCTCCTCCAAAACCTCCCCTACCTTTCCTCTCCCCTCCTCTCTTCCACCCTCCCTCTCTCGCCTTCCAAGTTCATATTGGGAGTAGCAGCAAACCTAAAGAAATCGCTTCCCCTTCCTTTCCTCAGCGTTCAAACCGCCTGAGAGTTGGGCTGGGGCCACCTTCTCATCAATCCGTGCTTTCGTCCCACCTGGTCTGTCTGCCCCTTCCATTCCCCCTCCCCTCCACCCTCATCCTCTCTCTCTCTCTCCCCCATCTTCCCCTTGCCTTTCCTCAGCGTTCAAACCGCCTGAGAGTTGGGCTGGGGCCACCTTCTCATCAATCCGTGCTTTCGTCCTACCTGGTCTGTTTGCCCCTTCCATTCCCCCTCTTCCATCCTCTTCCCCACTCTCTCTATCCCTCGCGCCCTCCCTCCCTCCTTCCCTCCCTCCCTCCCTCCCTCCCTCCCTCCCTCCCTCCCTCCCTCCCTCCCTCCCTCCCTCCCTCCCTCCCTCCCTCCCTCCCTCCCTCCCTCCCTCCCTCCCTCCCTCCCTCCCTCCCTCCCTCCCTCCCTCCCTCCCTCCCTCCCTCCCACCCTCTCTCTTCCCCACCCTTCAACCCTCCTGCAAGCTGCGCCCGGACCACCTATGCATCCAACTGCCAACAGTGCTCCGGTCCTAACCCGTCCTTGCGTTCAACTCACCGGAGAGCTGGCCTCGGGCCGTCTATGCATCTTTTGAGACGTCTCCGCGCCCCCCTTTCTCCTCTCTCAGACTCGCAGCATTCAACCCGCCTGGAAGCGGGGCTCTGGCTGTCTGCATGCAGCAGTGCTCTTGTCCGGACCTCCTAACCAGTCCACGCTCCACCTCTCTCCGCGCGTCCCTTTTCTCCTCTCGTAAACTTTCAGCGTTCAACCCGCCGGAGAGCAGGGCCCAACACCCCCTCCTCCTCCCACCTCCCCCTCCCTGTCCCCCTCCCCGTCCCCTCCCCCCCGCCTTTAATTCCGCAGCGTTCAACCCGCCGGAGAGCAGGGCCCAACACCCCCCCTCCCACCTCCTCCTCCCCGTCCCCCTCCCCTCCCTCTTTTATTCCGCAGCCTTCAACCCGCCAGAGAGCTGGGCCCGGGCCGCCTATGCCTGCAACGGTGCTCCGGACCTCCTAACCAGTCGCTCTCTCCCCGCCTCCCTTTCTCCTCTCTTATCCTCTCAGCGTTCAACCCGCCTGAGAGCTGGGCTCGGGCCGCCTATGCCTGCAACGGTGCTCCGGACCTCCTAACCAGTCGCTCTCTCCCCGCCTCCCTTTCTCCTCTCTTATCCTCTCAGCGTTCAACCCGCCTGAGAGCTGGGCTCGGGCCGCCTATGCCTGCAACGGTGCTCCGGACCTCCTAACCAGTCGCTCTCTCCCCGCCTCCCTTTCTCCTCTCTTATCCTCTCAGCGTTCAACCCGCCTGAGAGCTGGGCTCGGGCCGCCTATGCCTGCAACGGTGCTCCGGACTTGAACGCGGATCCGGAGGCTGACGCCCCAGCAGACGCGGCAGCAGCAGAAGCACCAGCAGCAGAAGCAGCAGCAGGCATGCCAGCAGGAGTGGCAGCAGCTGCAGCTGTAGCAGGATCAGGAGCAGGAGCAGGAATAGGAGGAGGGGCAGGGTGGCGCATAGGGTTAAGAAACACTGCAGCAGTTGATGCTGATGTGAAACAAACGCCTTCTGAGCTTCATCCTAGCAGCTTCAGAAAGAGGGATCGTGTGGATTTCAGTAGACTAGAGAGCTACGGGAGAGGGGAGAGAGGAGAAAGAGACGATCGGGAATCGGAGAGGTGTGGAAAGAAGGGTAGAGGAGGCTTGGATTTCGACCTGGAGTCCGAACCTGCTGCTGAGGCTCGGGCTGATGAGGGTCGGTCAGGGTTTGATCTGGAGGCTGTTCCAACGGCTGAGATCGGCGATGGAGCAGGCAGAGGATCTGGACGGCAGGGGCTGGACTTGGGGCAGGATCCGACGGTTGAGGTTGCTTCGGAGCGAGATCTGCGGATGGGATCGCAAGCAAGTGGTTTGCACTGTTCCACAACCGAACCTGCCAGAGCAGATAGGACGGGAACAGAGCTGGGCTCTGGTTCGGCTGTATCCGAACCTGGTGACCCTAGGTCTGGGACAGGCCTGGGCGCAGGCCTCTGCTTATCAGGGTCCTTTGCAAAACCAGAACATACCTTTGAGGCGCCTCAAAAGTCGGAGATGGGAGCAGGTCTCTGTTTATCAGGATCTATGGCCGAACCAGAAGCTAGTGGTGAAGATGCCGCACGCAGCGCCAGCGCATACCCGCCCCAGTCGCTTCCTTTCAGTTTAGAATCTTCAAAAGCTGCAGCTGAAGCAGATTTAGAAGCAGAAGCAGAAGCTGGAGTGAAAGATCAAGCCACGGCTGAAGCTGAGGGTGTTGCGGCTAGGTCTGAAGACAGGTGTGGTGGTAAGCTTGACCTGGAAGCTGGTTTGTCCAAAGCAGATCCGCCCCAGTCGCTTCCTTTCTGTTCACTTTCAGAAGCAGGCGCCAAAGCAAAAGTGGAGGGTGTTGCAGCTGGGTCTGAAGACAGGTGTGGTGGTAAGCTTGACCTGGAAGCTAATTTGTCCAGAGCAGACCCGCCCCGATCGCTTCCTTTCAGTTCGAAGCCTTCAAAAGCAGAAGCTGAAGCAAAAGTGGAAACAGAAGCTAATGACGCAGCTGCAGCTGGTTCTGCTGAAGGGTGTGTTGGTAAGTGTGACCTGGAAGCTGATCCATCACAAGCCGGTGCGCCCCGGTCGCTTCCTTTTAATCCAAAGCCTTTGGAAGTAAAAGCCGAAGCTACAGCCGGGGGTACGCTTGACCTGGAAGCTGGTTTGTCCCGAGAAGATCCGGTACAGCTGCTCCCTTCTACTTCAAAGGTCTCAGAAGCTGAAGCCGAAGCAAAGGCTGCACCTGAACCTGCACCTGAACCTGCACCTGAACCTGCACCTACGACTGCACCTGAAACTGCACCTGAAATTGCACCTGAGACTGCTCCTGGAATTGCACCTGAAACTGCACCTGAAGCTGAAGCAGCTGGGCCTGCAGTAGGGTGTGGTAAGCCTGAATCTGAGGCGGATCAGATGGGAGCAAATAAGACCTCTGGAGATCCCACTTCAGCAGATAAGACCTCCCCAGTTACGATCTCTGGGCATAAGACCTCCGGAGATCTGATTTCAATTGATAAGACCTCGCAAGATATCACCTTGGAAGATAAGACCTTGGCAGATGAGACCGTGGCAGGTAAGACCTTGGCAGATGAGACCTTGGCAAATAAGACCTTGGCAGATGAGACCTCGAGAAGTATGACCTCAACAGGTAAAACTGTTGGAAATCCGAACACAGAAAATTTATCTCAAGAAAATGTGATTTCGGAAAAAGGGTCTGGAGCGGATCTTGTTGCGGTGGAGAAGGGTTCGGTTGGGTTGGCTGGTGGGAAGGGGAGGCGAGACGTACAAGCTGACTCTGATCTTCTCAAAACAGACCCTCTGGAAAGAAACTCTCTCAAGACAGACCCTCCCAATACAGACTTTCCGAAAACAGACCCTCCCAAAACAGACCCTTCCAATACAGGCTTTCCGGAAACAGACCCTCCCAAAACAGACCCTTCCAATACAGGCTTTCCGGAAACAGACCCTCCCAAAACAGACCCTTCCAATACAGGCTTTCCGGAAACAGACCCTCCCAAAACAGACCCAGACCCGCCAAAAACTGACTCTCTCAAGAGTGAACTTGAAGCTGCTGGTTTGGATGCCATAGGGGTGGGAAAAAACAAGGGTGCATCGGCTGATGGAAAGGGGAGCATCGAGCAAAAGCTGGATGCAGATTCTCCCAGATTAGATTCTTCCATATCAGATCCTTGTAGATCAGATCCTCCCAGATTAGATTCTTCCAGATCGGATCCAGATGCTCCTGGAGTGCAAAGGGAACAAGAGGAGAAGGAGGAGAAAAGGGAGAGAGGAGAAGGGGAGGAGGAGCAGAAGGCGAGAGCGGAGGAGGGGGAGTGGGAGGAAGAGAAAAGGGAGGCAGAGGACGGTATGAGAGAGAGGGGAGGAGGGGTGCGAGCAAAGGAAGGAGAGGAAAGAGGAGAAGGAAAAGAAGAAGAAGGGTTGCAGCAGCAGGAGAGGGAGGGAACGGACCGTGTTGGAGAGGATAAGGGGAAAGGAAGGGAAGGGGAGCAATGTGAGAAAGGGGATGCAGGAAAGGGAGGGAAAAGGAGAGGCGATGGGGGAGTTGAGGTTTCTGCAGAGGAGGAAGGGGTTACGGTGGCTCGTGTTGACAGGGAAATGGTGGTTGATGATTGCAATAGTGTGGAGAGAAATACAATGGGTGGTGTTAGGGGTAAAGGGGACATGAAGGAAGGGGAGAACGAGTGGGTTGAGAGAGAGGAGGGGGCGAAAGGGGAGGGGGAGAAAGTGGGAGGGGAGAGAGCAGAAGAGAAAGAGGGAAGGGAGAAAGAGGAAGGGGAGGAAGCAGTGGGGAAGAAAGAGAAAGAGGAAGGAGACGCCGGAGGAGAGGAGGGAGGAGGAGAGATAAAGGAAGGAGCTAAAGCAAAGATCGAGAAAAAGGAGGAAGTAGAGGAGGGAGGAGTGAAGATAGGAAAGGGTACCCAAGATAAGGTTGAAAATATCAATGAATCGGAAGCAACGAGGCAGGAGGAAGTGATACTGCTGAAGCGGGAGGTTGTATTGGGAGACACAGAATCAAGGCCGAGGGAAAAGGGAGGGAGAGACAAAGCTATGTTGAGGGAATCACGAGAAATTAGCCTGTATTTACCCGGCGAGGAGAAAGCGCATACTGGGAGCAGGAAGGGGAAATAATGGAGAGTATACGGAAAGAAGATGGCATGCAGCTTGCGGGTCTCTTATCGTGTACAAGATACAGAGAAAAACTCAACAAGTAGGAATGATGACCTGAGATTAGAACACAATGTAGGAACAAACTGCTGAGGGTGAGTGATAGGTAGTAAGATTTTCATGAGCGTACGCTTCAGAGAAATACCACATCAAGCTTCTACTAAAGAAGAAACAGAATCTGTATGTACCGCCTTATATCCATTGCGCGGTCGCTCGATTTAGTGTCGTGACATTCTGCCGGTGAACTGCATCTGTGTTCTGTGTCAGTGTTGCTGCACCCTGCAGTCACCCCACCAGAATCTAGCCAGCAAATTTGACCTTGCTACAGAAAGTACTGTAGAGTTTCTGGGCTTGTCGTCCCTCGAACCGCTTCAAGTACGGTCCAATAAGAAATAACCACGTGCCTAGTCGATTCGCCCCTCGAAAGTACCTCCCCCTGCGCTGCGAGTCGCCCTCATTTCGCTCGATATGTATCGCAGAAACCGATGCGAAGTCGTCTGTTCAGTCGACGACAGCCCTCGTTGGCCCATACGAACACGGCTGGGCGAATTTGCTTCGCGGCATCCGCTTGGACATCACTATTATTTGCCACCGACTTCACAATGTTTGTTCTGACCGCTGCGAATTTGATATCCGTAGTGTTTGACCAGTCGTTGTACAGACCCGTTTCTATATGCGTAATTATTATGTCAAAATCCTACAGATGTTCTCGTTTATAGTCTGACGGATCAACATCGCCGCGCGCGGACTATGTGGCATACCCTTCAAACCCCAGGCAAAACTCGATACTTATAGTCCGGTTCAGGAAAATTTCATGAAGAGTAGTTGTTTTGCTACTAGTTTCTGGAGTTTGGCATTTACGTAGATTTGGACCGCGCTTGCTTCAACTTCCAGTCGCACGGTTTTCCACGCTGATCAATGTCGCATGACTAACGGTCAAAACTAAACAAAATAAACTATGATTTGGGGGTCGAATAGTAACCCAAAAACTTCGTTTCTACCCTGTAAGCGAGATAAATGAGATGTCATTGTCGATCGCGCTGGAGACAGCGCGACAGGATTGAGAGTTAGTCGCAGTCAAGAGAAACAATTAATTGCTATTAAAAAGTTAAAATATCGAATCAATGATCCCTTTTTTTCGTTTTCTTTGAATGTTGGGCTGGTTTGATCTGGAGCCTCTGATTGGCTGCGGAGCTGATTCGTGCAATGATTCGGTCAAGCTGCAAATTTTCCCGCCAAAAACGGGACTATAGGGGTCGGGCCAACCCTAGGCGATATCGGAAAATTCTACTCAGGGGGGAAAAGGGACTCTCTCAACGAGAGCCTCTAACCCGGAACACTTGTACCATAAACGGCTCGTACATATCACGTGATTGAGCCCCTTATCGAATTAACAAAGCTTTCCATACACCCTTGCACTTTTTATGACCAAGGGCAGTCCTTCGGTCAGTTTGAATGGAGACCAACTCCTCCTCCACCAAGCTCACCAGGCAGAGATGGGCCTTTCATCAGCCTCAGGCCACACGAGCTTGCCCTCGAGATTGTTTGGGCTTGAACCTTGGGAGGAACTCTCCACTCCACACCACATACGTCCTCCTCATGACGAGTCTCTCAACCAACATTATCTTCTCAACACACGCATCGCATTCCATACGTGAGGCAATCCCGAGAAGCAACTCCCTCCACTGAAACCATCCCAGTTTCGATGTTGACTGGATCCTCGTAATAGATTCACCGTCTACACGAGCTGCTGCGCTACGCTCGTAGTTTCCTGTTTTCCTTCGTGGTTACATTATTGCGTCGGTAGTATTCCCTGCGCTACGACTGATCCATTACCTTTCAATTGACCTAAGTGATCATACAGCTCTTTACGTTCGATCGTTGACAGGAAGCATTACCATTTGCTCTTACGACTCCCGAACGACACCAGAGTGATCGCAACCTAAAGCATGTCGTCGTAACGAATATACGATCGTCGTTCAGGAGAAGGTCAACGTGTATCACGTAGCCTTATCATTGTTGGCTCCCCAAGTGCGTCTCTTAGAGGACCACCATGGTTTCGTTTTACGAGTCGAAGCTACGTTGCAGTGGTTTCCGCGATCGCCGTTCCCAATCTAGACAACCCTTCAGTTTCGCACCTCTAATTACATCCTTATCCCATCGGTTACCATTCGCGCTGCTACTTCTGGCGGCTCTCCCAGCAACCCTATTACCCTGTCAAATCCAAGCTACCCGGCCTTCCGTACCCGTTACAAGCGCCACCGATTTCGTGACAAGACCAGGTTCTAGGGTCGGTTCCAGACCCGTTCGATCTCTCCGTTCGCTCGTCGAATCCCAGCCGTCCGATGGGTCATCCTCGTTTTACGTCCTCCCCGTCACCCACTCATACGCGCATCTCTCCGAAAGCTCCTTCCACGCGCGTCACGGGCAGCCACGTGGCGTCATGACCGCAGATCACGCCCGACTGCTCAAACTGCACGATCGTCGCCGGCTCCTCCGGCTTCAAGGAAAGTCTCCCTCCGCCAAAACCGGCACAGAAAACGGCGCAGTTAGGGCGGGAACAGGGGATTGGACGATCAGTGCAAACGTGGGGAACATATCTCTGGCCGAAGGGACGGTGACGGAAGTGGGAGGCGGAGCGTTCTACCAGCTAGGAGGCAATATGGAGATGACTATAGCGGGGTAGGTTCTAGCTGAGATGACTATAGCGGGTTAGGTTCTAGCTGAGATGACTATAACGGGTATGTGCGAGGTGACTGTAGCGGGACTTGTACGATTGGGAATGACAATGAGCATATGTGGGTCATTTGAGACTGAGGACTCAGGACTGAAGATTGCAGCACTTGTTCTCCTTCACGTCACTGCAGTCCTCTCACACGTCACTTGTTCTGCACTTGTTCCCCCTCCCACGTTAAGTCCCCTCCCGTTTCATCCTCGTTACTCGCACTGGCCCTGATGCACTCACCCTGAATTCGTCACCCTGCCCGTCGTTCCCTGTCTCCAGCCTCTATTGGGCGGAGGTGCAGCTCGGGCAGCCCGTGCAAAAGTTTAAGGTTCAGATTGACACGGGCAGTGACGTCATGTGGGTCACCTGCGCGCCCTGCCTCGCCTGTCCGGTCGCTTCCACAGTGGTGCGTGGCTTCTCATTCCGGTTGTGGGGAGTTTAGAGGAGTAAGAAACGGTTAGCAGGAGGGGTTTACGTGCCTTGCAACATTTCCAAGTCACTGACTCCTGACGTGCCTCACTAATTCATCACCACTGTCCCCACCCCCTCCCCACCCTCCGCCCCACCCGCCCCCAACCCCTCCCCCTCCCCTCCTCTCCCCAATTCAATGTCTCTCCTGCAAGTCTTTTTCTCCTTTTCTTACAGCACTACCAAGTCACTGATCCCTGACGTGCCTGAAAAGCACACCCTCTTATTCATCACCACTATCCTCCCCCACTTCCCCAACACCGCATCTCTCGCACAGGTCCTTTCCCCGCCGTACGACATTACCAAGTCGTCAACAGCTCAGGTCAGCTGGGTGGGTTGGTGGTGCATGGGGGGATGTTGGTGGGCTGGTGCGTGGGGGAGGTGCTGGGTGGGTGGGCAGATTGATGTAAAGGCGCTGCAACTAGTCATGCCATCTCGACTTCTCCTGCTACTTGCTTTGGGTTGAGGCCCTTGCTCTTTCTCCTGCTACTTGCTTTGGGTTGAGGCCCTTGCTCTTTCTCCTGCTACTTGCTTTGGGTTGAGGCCCTTGCTCTTTCTCCTGCTACTTGCATTGCACACATGTTTAGCCGTCCTTTATTTCCTGCCTCCTCCTCCCCCTCCTCCAACCCCTCCCTCCCCTTCTCTCTCTTTTTTTCATACCAGGTGGTTGATTGCGGCACCTCCACCTGCTCGGCGCTGCAGCAAACCAGACGAACCCTCGGGCAGGGATGCCTGGACATCTTGTATCCCAACTCAGGGGACCCGCGGTGCTACTACGGCATCCAGTACGCCGACAATTCCAGCAGCACCGGCTACTTGGTTAAAGACCGGCTTACCTTCTCTACTTTGGGCGGTGATCCCGCTTCTATGGACTACCTGTTTGGGTGAGCGCGAGGGGGCGGGCAGGGGCGGGTAGGGGCGGGCAGGGGGGGGCAGGGGCGGGGAGGGGGGCAGGGGAAAGGAGGGGAAAGGAGAGTAGAAAGAGAGGGGAAAGAGGGGCTGTCTGTGTGGACATGCTGCACCCCATCCAACTCGAGGGACCCGCGCGGTGCTACTACGGCATCCAGTACGCCGACAACTCCAGCAGCACCGGCTATTTGGTAAGGGACCGGCTCTCGTTTTCTACTCTGGGGGGCGATCCCGCCTCCATGGACTATCTCTTTGGGTGAGCGCGAGGGTAGGGAGAGGGGGGCTGGGGACGGGAGAGGGAGAGGGAGAGGGAGAGGGAGAGGGAGAGGGAGAGGGAGAGGGAGAGGGAGAGGGAGAAAGGGCATGGGCTCGCTCTCCATGCTCACGCACATGCAGGCAGCATGCAATACCACTGCTTGCTGCGTCAGCATGGGCCGTTGATCTCCTCTCTCCTTTCATCGCTCATGCACATTGCCTTACCTCCTGCCCGCCCCCGTCGCCCCATGCTCCCCTCACTCCTTCACCAGTTGTGGGTTCCAGCAGTCAGGCAACCTGGTATCCGGAAAACCATCTAGTGGACGGGGTCATGGGGCTCAACATGGGGTCGCTCCCCATGCTCACTCTCTTTCCCCCTCCCCTCGCACTTTTGAGGCGCCTCAAAACTTTTGAGGACTTTTGAGGCGCCTCAAAAGTCTTTCCCCCTCCCCTCGCACTTTTGAGGCGCCTCAAAAGTCTTTCCCCCTCCCCTCGCACTTTTGAGGCGCCTCAAAAGTCTTTCCCCCTCCCCTCGCACACACCGTTCCCCTCCAGCTGTGGGTTCAAGCAGTCGGGCAACCTGGTATCGGGCAACCACCTAGTAGACGGGGTGATGGGGCTCAACATGGGGGCGCTCTCCATGCTCACTCTCTTTCCCCCTCCCCTCGCACTTTTGAGGCGCCTCAAAACTTTTGAGGACTTTTGAGGCGCCTCAAAAGTCTTTCCCCCTCCCCTCGCACTTTTGAGGCGCCTCAAAAGTCTTTCCCCCTCCCCTCGCACTTTTGAGGCGCCTCAAAAGTCTTTCCCCCTCCCCTCGCACACACCGTTCCCCTCCAGCTGTGGGTTCAAGCAGTCGGGCAACCTGGTATCGGGCAACCACCTAGTAGACGGGGTGATGGGGCTCAACATGGGGGCGCTCTCCATGCTCACTCTCTTTCCCCCTCCCCTCGCACTTTTGAGGCGCCTCAAAACTTTTGAGGACTTTTGAGGCGCCTCAAAAGTCTTTCCCCCTCCCCTCGCACTTTTGAGGCGCCTCAAAAGTCTTTCCCCCTCCCCTCGCACTTTTGAGGCGCCTCAAAAGTCTTTCCCCCTCCCCTCGCACACACCGTTCCCCTCCAGCTGTGGGTTCAAGCAGTCGGGCAACCTGGTATCGGGCAACCACCTAGTAGACGGGGTGATGGGGCTCAACATGGGGGCGCTCTCCATGCTCACTCTCTTTCCCCCTCCCCTCGCACTTTTGAGGCGCCTCAAAACTTTTGAGGACTTTTGAGGCGCCTCAAAAGTCTTTCCCCCTCCCCTCGCACTTTTGAGGCGCCTCAAAAGTCTTTCCCCCTCCCCTCGCACTTTTGAGGCGCCTCAAAAGTCTTTCCCCCTCCCCTCGCACACACCGTTCCCCTCCAGCTGTGGGTTCAAGCAGTCGGGCAACCTGGTATCGGGCAACCACCTAGTAGACGGGGTGATGGGGCTCAACATGGGGGCGCTCTCCATGCTCACTCTCTTTCCCCCTCCCCTCGCACTTTTGAGGCGCCTCAAAACTTTTGAGGACTTTTGAGGCGCCTCAAAAGTCTTTCCCCCTCCCCTCGCACTTTTGAGGCGCCTCAAAAGTCTTTCCCCCTCCCCTCGCACTTTTGAGGCGCCTCAAAAGTCTTTCCCCCTCCCCTCGCACACACCGTTCCCCTCCAGCTGTGGGTTCAAGCAGTCGGGCAACCTGGTATCGGGCAACCACCTAGTAGACGGGGTGATGGGGCTCAACATGGGGGCGCTCTCCATGCTCACTCTCTTTCCCCCCTCCCCTCGCACTTTTGAGGCGCCTCAAAACTTTTGAGGACTTTTGAGGCGCCTCAAAAGTCTTTCCCCCTCCCCTCGCACTTTTGAGGCGCCTCAAAAGTCTTTCCCCCTCCCCTCGCACTTTTGAGGCGCCTCAAAAGTCTTTCCCCCTCCCCTCGCACACACCGTTCCCCTCCAGCTGTGGGTTCAAGCAGTCGGGCAACCTGGTATCGGGCAACCACCTAGTAGACGGGGTGATGGGGCTCAACATGGGGGCGCTCTCCATGCTCACTCTCTTTCCCCCTCCCCTCGCACTTTTGAGGCGCCTCAAAACTTTTGAGGACTTTTGAGGCGCCTCAAAAGTCTTTCCCCCTCCCCTCGCACTTTTGAGGCGCCTCAAAAGTCTTTCCCCCTCCCCTCGCACTTTTGAGGCGCCTCAAAAGTCTTTCCCCCTCCCCTCGCACACACCGTTCCCCTCCAGCTGTGGGTTCAAGCAGTCGGGCAACCTGGTATCGGGCAACCACCTAGTAGACGGGGTGATGGGGCTCAACATGGGGGCGCTCTCCATGCTCACTCTCTTTCCCCCTCCCCTCGCACTTTTGAGGCGCCTCAAAAGTCTTTCCCCCTCCCCTCGCACTTTTGAGGCGCCTCAAAAGTCTTTCCCCCTCCCCTCGCACACACCGTTCCCCTCCAGCTGTGGGTTCAAGCAGTCGGGCAACCTGGTATCGGGCAACCACCTAGTAGACGGGGTGATGGGGCTCAACATGGGGGCGCTCTCCATGCTCACTCTCTTTCCCCCTCCCCTCGCACTTTTGAGGCGCCTCAAAACTTTTGAGGACTTTTGAGGCGCCTCAAAAGTCTTTCCCCCTCCCCTCGCACTTTTGAGGCGCCTCAAAAGTCTTTCCCCCTCCCCTCGCACTTTTGAGGCGCCTCAAAAGTCTTTCCCCCTCCCCTCGCACACACCGTTCCCCTCCAGCTGTGGGTTCAAGCAGTCGGGCAACCTGGTATCGGGCAACCACCTAGTAGACGGGGTGATGGGGCTCAACATGGGGGCGCTCTCCATGCTCACTCTCTTTCCCCCTCCCCTCGCACTTTTGAGGCGCCTCAAAACTTTTGAGGACTTTTGAGGCGCCTCAAAAGTCTTTCCCCCTCCCCTCGCACTTTTGAGGCGCCTCAAAAGTCTTTCCCCCTCCCCTCGCACTTTTGAGGCGCCTCAAAAGTCTTTCCCCCTCCCCTCGCACACACCGTTCCCCTCCAGCTGTGGGTTCAAGCAGTCGGGCAACCTGGTATCGGGCAACCACCTAGTAGACGGGGTGATGGGGCTCAACATGGGGGCGCTCTCCATGCTCACTCTCTTTCCCCTCCCCTCGCACTTTTGAGGCGCCTCAAAACTTTTGAGGACTTTTGAGGCGCCTCAAAAGTCTTTCCCCCTCCCCTCGCACTTTTGAGGCGCCTCAAAAGTCTTTCCCCCTCCCCTCGCACTTTTGAGGCGCCTCAAAAGTCTTTCCCCCTCCCCTCGCACACACCGTTCCCCTCCAGCTGTGGGTTCAAGCAGTCGGGCAACCTGGTATCGGGCAACCACCTAGTAGACGGGGTGATGGGGCTCAACATGGGGGCGCTCTCCATGCTCACTCTCTTTCCCCCTCCCCTCGCACTTTTGAGGCGCCTCAAAACTTTTGAGGACTTTTGAGGCGCCTCAAAAGTCTTTCCCCCTCCCCTCGCACTTTTGAGGCGCCTCAAAAGTCTTTCCCCCTCCCCTCGCACTTTTGAGGCGCCTCAAAAGTCTTTCCCCCTCCCCTCGCACACACCGTTCCCCTCCAGCTGTGGGTTCAAGCAGTCGGGCAACCTGGTATCGGGCAACCACCTAGTAGACGGGGTGATGGGGCTCAACATGGGGGCGCTCTCCATGCTCACTCTCTTTCCCCCTCCCCTCGCACTTTTGAGGCGCCTCAAAACTTTTGAGGACTTTTGAGGCGCCTCAAAAGTCTTTCCCCCTCCCCTCGCACTTTTGAGGCGCCTCAAAAGTCTTTCCCCCTCCCCTCGCACTTTTGAGGCGCCTCAAAAGTCTTTCCCCCTCCCCTCGCACACACCGTTCCCCTCCAGCTGTGGGTTCAAGCAGTCGGGCAACCTGGTATCGGGCAACCACCTAGTAGACGGGGTGATGGGGCTCAACATGGGGGCGCTCTCCATGCTCACTCTCTTTCCCCCTCCCCTCGCACTTTTGAGGCGCCTCAAAACTTTTGAGGACTTTTGAGGCGCCTCAAAAGTCTTTCCCCCTCCCCTCGCACTTTTGAGGCGCCTCAAAAGTCTTTCCCCCTCCCCTCGCACTTTTGAGGCGCCTCAAAAGTCTTTCCCCCTCCCCTCGCACACACCGTTCCCCTCCAGCTGTGGGTTCAAGCAGTCGGGCAACCTGGTATCGGGCAACCACCTAGTAGACGGGGTGATGGGGCTCAACATGGGGGCGCTCTCCATGCTCACTCTCTTTCCCCCTCCCCTCGCACTTTTGAGGCGCCTCAAAAGTCTTTCCCCCTCCCCTCGCACTTTTGAGGCGCCTCAAAAGTCTTTCCCCCTCCCCTCGCACACACCGTTCCCCTCCAGCTGTGGGTTCAAGCAGTCGGGCAACCTGGTATCGGGCAACCACCTAGTAGACGGGGTGATGGGGCTCAACATGGGGGCGCTCTCCATGCTCACTCTCTTTCCCCCTCCCCTCGCACTTTTGAGGCGCCTCAAAACTTTTGAGGACTTTTGAGGCGCCTCAAAAGTCTTTCCCCCTCCCCTCGCACTTTTGAGGCGCCTCAAAAGTCTTTCCCCCTCCCCTCGCACTTTTGAGGCGCCTCAAAAGTCTTTCCCCCTCCCCTCGCACACACCGTTCCCCTCCAGCTGTGGGTTCAAGCAGTCGGGCAACCTGGTATCGGGCAACCACCTAGTAGACGGGGTGATGGGGCTCAACATGGGGGCGCTCTCCATGCTCACTCTCTTTCCCCCTCCCCTCGCACTTTTGAGGCGCCTCAAAACTTTTGAGGACTTTTGAGGCGCCTCAAAAGTCTTTCCCCCTCCCCTCGCACTTTTGAGGCGCCTCAAAAGTCTTTCCCCCTCCCCTCGCACTTTTGAGGCGCCTCAAAAGTCTTTCCCCCTCCCCTCGCACACACCGTTCCCCTCCAGCTGTGGGTTCAAGCAGTCGGGCAACCTGGTATCGGGCAACCACCTAGTAGACGGGGTGATGGGGCTCAACATGGGGGCGCTCTCCATGCTCACTCTCTTTCCCCCTCCCCTCGCACTTTTGAGGCGCCTCAAAACTTTTGAGGACTTTTGAGGCGCCTCAAAAGTCTTTCCCCCTCCCCTCGCACTTTTGAGGCGCCTCAAAAGTCTTTCCCCCTCCCCTCGCACTTTTGAGGCGCCTCAAAAGTCTTTCCCCCTCCCCTCGCACACACCGTTCCCCTCCAGCTGTGGGTTCAAGCAGTCGGGCAACCTGGTATCGGGCAACCACCTAGTAGACGGGGTGATGGGGCTCAACATGGGGGCGCTCTCCATGCTCACTCTCTTTCCCCCTCCCCTCGCACTTTTGAGGCGCCTCAAAACTTTTGAGGACTTTTGAGGCGCCTCAAAAGTCTTTCCCCCTCCCCTCGCACTTTTGAGGCGCCTCAAAAGTCTTTCCCCCTCCCCTCGCACTTTTGAGGCGCCTCAAAAGTCTTTCCCCCTCCCCTCGCACACACCGTTCCCCTCCAGCTGTGGGTTCAAGCAGTCGGGCAACCTGGTATCGGGCAACCACCTAGTAGACGGGGTGATGGGGCTCAACATGGGGGCGCTCTCCATGCTCACTCTCTTTCCCCCTCCCCTCGCACTTTTGAGGCGCCTCAAAACTTTTGAGGACTTTTGAGGCGCCTCAAAAGTCTTTCCCCCTCCCCTCGCACTTTTGAGGCGCCTCAAAAGTCTTTCCCCCTCCCCTCGCACTTTTGAGGCGCCTCAAAAGTCTTTCCCCCTCCCCTCGCACACACCGTTCCCCTCCAGCTGTGGGTTCAAGCAGTCGGGCAACCTGGTATCGGGCAACCACCTAGTAGACGGGGTGATGGGGCTCAACATGGGGGCGCTCTCCATGCTCACTCTCTTTCCCCCTCCCCTCGCACTTTTGAGGCGCCTCAAAACTTTTGAGGACTTTTGAGGCGCCTCAAAAGTCTTTCCCCCTCCCCTCGCACTTTTGAGGCGCCTCAAAAGTCTTTCCCCCTCCCCTCGCACTTTTGAGGCGCCTCAAAAGTCTTTCCCCCTCCCCTCGCACACACCGTTCCCCTCCAGCTGTGGGTTCAAGCAGTCGGGCAACCTGGTATCGGGCAACCACCTAGTAGACGGGGTGATGGGGCTCAACATGGGGGCGCTCTCCATGCTCACTCTCTTTCCCCCTCCCCTCGCACTTTTGAGGCGCCTCAAAACTTTTGAGGACTTTTGAGGCGCCTCAAAAGTCTTTCCCCCTCCCCTCGCACTTTTGAGGCGCCTCAAAAGTCTTTCCCCCTCCCCTCGCACTTTTGAGGCGCCTCAAAAGTCTTTCCCCCTCCCCTCGCACACACCGTTCCCCTCCAGCTGTGGGTTCAAGCAGTCGGGCAACCTGGTATCGGGCAACCACCTAGTAGACGGGGTGATGGGGCTCAACATGGGGGCGCTCTCCATGCTCACTCTCTTTCCCCCTCCCCTCGCACTTTTGAGGCGCCTCAAAACTTTTGAGGACTTTTGAGGCGCCTCAAAAGTCTTTCCCCCTCCCCTCGCACTTTTGAGGCGCCTCAAAAGTCTTTCCCCCTCCCCTCGCACTTTTGAGGCGCCTCAAAAGTCTTTCCCCCTCCCCTCGCACACACCGTTCCCCTCCAGCTGCGGGTTCAAGCAGTCGGGCAACCTGGTATCGGGCAACCACCTAGTAGACGGGGTGATGGGGCTCAACATGGGGGCGCTCTCCATGCTCACTCAGATGCAGGTGGCACGCAAGACCAACGGCGTGTTTGCGCACTGTCTAGGGGGCGAGGAGCTCGGTGGTGGGAGTCTCATTTTCGGCACAGTTCTGGAGGATGGGCTGCTGTACACGAGTCTACTGGACGATAGGTGAGGGGAATGATGGTGCCAGGTAAGGTGAGTGCAATTCGGCAGGTGAGGGGTTTATGTGGATGGTCTCTATGCTCACTCAAATGCAGGCGGCACGCAAGACCAACGGCGTCTTTGCGCACTGCCTAGGGGGAGAGGAGCTCGGGGGAGGTAGTCTGATTTTTGGAACGGTGCTGGAGGATGGGCTGCTGTACACGAGTCTGCTGGACGACAGGTGAGAGGAATGATGGTTGGTTGGTGTTAGGGCTAGTGATGACAGGTGGGGCACTGCCTGGGAGGCGAGGAGTTGGGGGGAAGGAGTTTGATCTTTGGGACGGTGCTGGAAGATGGGCTGCTATACACGAGTCTATTGGACGACAGGTGAGGGAATCCGCCAGGTGAGGGGTTTATGTGGGGTGCTTGGTCTATGCTCACACAGATGCAGGGTATCTCATCTGCTTTTGAGTCGACTCGAAAGCAGATCTATGCTCACACAAATGGATGGTACTGAGTCGTGTTTTGAGTCGACTCAATAGCAGATCTATGCTCACACAAATGGATGGTACTGAGTCGTGTTTTGAGTCGACTCAATAGCAGATCTATGCTCACACAAATGGATGGTACTGAGTCGTGTTTTGAGTCGACTCAATAGCAGATCTATGCTCACACAAATGGATGGTACTGAGTCGTGTTTTGAGTCGACTCAATAGCAGATCTATGCTCACACAAATGGATGGTACTGAGTCGTGTTTTGAGTCGACTCAATAGCAGATCTATGCTCACACAAATGGATGGTACTGAGTCGTGTTTTGAGTCGACTCAATAGCAGATCTATGCTCACAGCAAATGGATGGTACTGAGTCGTGTTTTGAGTCGACTCAATAGCAGATCTATGCTCACACAAATGGATGGTACTGAGTCGTGTTTTGAGTCGACTCAATAGCAGATCTATGCTCACACAAATGGATGGTACTGAGTCGTGTTTTGAGTCGACTCAATAGCAGATCTATGCTCACACAAATGGATGGTACTGAGTCGTGTTTTGAGTCGACTCAATAGCAGATCTATGCTCACACAAATGGATGGTACTGAGTCGTGTTTTGAGTCGACTCAATAGCAGATCTATGCTCACACAAATGGATGGTACTGAGTCGTGTTTTGAGTCGACTCAATAGCAGATCTATGCTCACACAAATGGATGGTACTGAGTCGTGTTTGAGTCGACTCAATAGCAGATCTATGCTCACACAAATGGATGGTACTGAGTCGTGTTTGAGTCGACTCAATAGCAGATCTATGCTCACACAAATGCAGGGTACTGAGTCGTGTTTTGAGTCGACTCAATAGCAGATCTATGCTCACACAAATGCAGGGTACTGAGTCGTGTTTTGAGTCGACTCAATAGCAGATCTATGCTCACACAAATGCAGGGTACTGAGTCATGTTTTGAGTCGACTCGAAAGCAGATCTATGCTCACACAAATGCAGGGTACTGAGTCGTGTTTTGAGTCGACTCGAAAGCAGATCTATGCTCACACAAATGGATGGTACTGAGTCGTGTTTTGAGTCGACCCGAAAGCAGATCTATGCTCAAACAAATGCAGGGTACTGAGTCGTGTTTTGATTCGACTCAATAGCAGATCTATGCTCACACAAATGCAGGGTACTGAGTCGTGTTTTGAGTCGACTCAATAGCAGATCTATGCTCACACAAATGCAGGGTACTGAGTCGTGTTTTGAGTCGACTCAATAGCAGATCTATGCTCACACAAATGCAGGGTACTGAGTCGTGTTTTGATTCGACTCAATAGCAGATCTATGCTCACACAAATGCAGGGTACTGAGTCGTGTTTTGAGTCGACTCAATAGCAGATCTATGCTCACACAAATGCAGGGTACTGAGTCGTGTTTTGAGTCGACTCGAAAGCAGATCTATGCTCACACAAATGCAGGGTACTGAGTCGTGTTTTGAGTCGACTCGAAAGCAGATCTATGCTCACACAAATGGATGGTACTGAGTCGTGTTTTGAGTCGACCCGAAAGCAGATCTATGCTCAAACAAATGCAGGGTACTGAGTCGTGTTTGGATTCGACTCAATAGCAGATCTATGCTCACTACAAATGCAGGGTACTGAGTCGTGTTTTGAGTCGACTCAATAGCAGATCTATGCTCACACAAATGCAGGGTACTGAGTCGTGTTTTGAGTCGACTCGAAAGCAGATCTATGCTCACACAAATGCAGGGTACTGAGTCGTGTTTTGAGTCGACTCGAAAGCAGATCTATGCTCACACAAATGCAGGGTACTGAGTCGTGTTTGAGTCGACCCGAAAGCAGATCTATGCTCACACAAATGCAGGGTACTGAGTCGTGTTTTGAGTCGACTCAATAGCAGATCTATGCTCACACAAATGCAGGGTACTGAGTCGTGTTTTGATTCGACTCAATAGCAGATCTATGCTCACACAAATGCAGGGTACTGAGTCGTGTTTTGATTCGACTCAATAGCAGATCTATGCTCACACAAATGCAGGGTACTGAGTCGTGTTTTGAGTCGACCCGAAAGCAGATCTATGCTCACACAAATGCAGGGTACTGAGTCGTGTTTTGAGTCGACTCAATAGCAGATCTATGCTCACACAAATGCAGGGTACTGAGTCGTGTTTTGATTCGACTCAATAGCAGATCTATGCTCACACAAATGCAGGGTACTGAGTCGTGTTTTGAGTCGACCCGAAGCAGATCTATGCTCACACAAATGCAGGGTACTGAGTCGTGTTTTGAGTCGACTCAATAGCAGATCTATGCTCACACAAATGCAGGGTACTGAGTCGTGTTTTGAGTCGACTCAATAGCAGATCTATGCTCACTCAAATGCAGGGTACTGAGTCGTGTTTTGAGTCGACTCAATAGCAGATCTATGCTCACACAAATGCAGGGTACTGAGTCGTGTTTTGAGTCGACTCAATAGCAGATCTATGCTCACAAAAATGCAGGGTACTGAGTCGTGTTTTGATTCGACTCAATAGCAGATCTATGCTCACACAAATGCAGGGTACTGAGTCCGTGTTTTGAGTCGACTCAATAGCAGATCTATGCTCACACAAATGCAGGGTACTGAGTCGTGTTTTGAGTCGACTCAATAGCAGATCTATGCTCACACAAATGCAGGGTACTTCATCCCCAATGCTTCACTTCAATGCTCCCTCACCCCCTTTCAACCCCCCCAATAGGTCGCACTACTATGTCCAGTTGAACGGCGTATCAGTGGGAGGGCAGCGCCTGCCAGGCATTGACCAGACGTCCTTCTCCTCGCAGCAGGACGTGTTGGCTGCTCACACCCTCCCCCCCACCCTCCTCTTGTTCCCAACCCCTCCTCTTGCCCTTCGTCCCCCAACCCCAGATCACATTATTATGTCCAGTTGAACGGCATCTCAGTGGGGGGGCAGCGCCTGCCAGGCATCGACCAGTCGTCCTTCTCCTCGCAGCCGGACGTGTTTGGCGGCTCGGGCAGCCTGCAGGCGGGAGGGGTGATCATGGACAGCGGCACCACCCTCGCCATGTTCCCCACTCCGATTTACAACACGTGGCTGGACGCGGTGAGTGTTGCTTGTGGCAGTCAGGGGGCAGCAGTGTGTGCATGGCTTCATGCACTGGTTTTACTGCGGGTCGGGGAGCCTGCAGGGGGGAGGGAGGGGGTGATCATGGACAGTCACAGTGGCACCACCCTCGCCATGTTCCCCACGCCCAATCTACAACACGTGGCTGGACGCGGTGAGTGGGAAGCAGCAGCATCGGCAACGCGAACAACCCACGTGGTGAGTGCACCGCCTCCCTCAGGCCCCTCTGGTGGATGACAAGGGGGCCTGAGGGAGGCGGTGCACTCACCACGTGGGTTGTTCGCGTTGCCGATGCTGCTGTTGACAAAAATGCTATCCTCCTCCTCATGCCTCTCATAGGCTGTGCACTCCTCACTGGTGCTGCTGTTGACAAAGCCCTCCTCATCGGTGCTGCTCTTGATAGTTAGGTTACTGCTTTCATTACTCTTCCAAAAGAGCCTCCACTTCTGTCGTTCCTCACCTCCTCCCCACTCCCACCCCTCTCCTCCCCACATTGCCCCCTGTTACCAGGTTACTTCTCTCATCACCTTGCCCCAAGTGGGCGCCACGTCAGACTTCCTCTGCTACGACTTTGGCTCCAAGTGAGTGCGCTACAGGCAGTTGTGCAAGAGCAAGGCTGTGTTGCACTACTGCCAGAAGTGCTACAGCCAGCCGTGATACAGCCAGCCGTGCTACAGCCAAATGCACCGCAACTAGTTGTAGCACGGCCTGTTTATCACAGCAATATTTCCCACCCGCACCAGGGGCAGCTGTGGTATGGTATGGATGGCTAATGCCTCCCATTAAGCAAGGGCAATTAAGTATAGATAAAAGTTCCCCCACCATTTCTCAGGCACCTCAGAATTAGTCATCAACTGTTCTGCCCCACCACCCCCCTCCCCCTCATCCCCCTCCCCCCCTCCCCGCTCCCCGCTTCCCGTCTCCTGTCCTGCGTTCTTGCCTCCTTATCACAGCAAGTATGAGGAACTTTCCAAGTACTTTCCGACGGTGACTCTGCATTTCGAGGGGGCAGACATGACCGTTGAACCCCCCGGCTATGTCTTCCTGCACTCAAATGTGAGTCCACTATGCCTTTCCTTCCGCTCCTCCTCCTATCAATCAAGCCCCGTCCCCCATCTGAGAGGGCTGACCGTTGAACCCCCCGGCTACGTCTTCCTGCATTCAAACGTGAGCCCAGCATGCCATCCCTTCCGATCTTTCCTATTGAGTCGAGCCTCATCCCTTTTGAGAATTCTCAAAAGTGATCCCACATCCGAGTGGACATGACCCGTTGAACCCCCCGGCTACGTCTTCCTGCATTCAAACGTGAGCCCAGCATGCCATCCTTCCGATCTTTCCTATTGAGTCGAGCCTCATCCCTTTTGAGAATTCTCAAAAGTGATCCCACATCCGAGTGGACATGACCGTTGAACCCCCCGCTACGTCTTCCTGCATTCAAACGTGAGCCCAGCATGCCATCCCCTTTCTACCCCTGCCTGGGTTATTTAATTTTGAGTCGACCAGAAAGACATGACCGTCGAACCCCCCGGCTATGTGTTCACATATAGCATTGTCAATCTGCACATTGCCCTCCAATGTGAGCCCAGCATGCGATCCCTTCCAATCTTTCCTATTGAATCAAGCCCATCCCACATCTGAGAGTACATGACCATCGTCCCTCGCGGCTATGACTTCCTGCGTTTTAATGTGAGCCCACTATGCATTCCTCCCCTTCCGCCCCCCTCTCCCCCCTCCCACTCTTTCTCCCCCTTGACGCTTCCTCTCCCACTCTTCCCCTTTTCCACTCTTCCTCCCCACGCCACCTCCCTCTCCCTTTTTCCTGCAATTTTTTCGAGTCCGGCCTTCCAGCCTTTTCCCTCCTGCACACCTCGCCTCCGGCCCTCAGTGATTGCAGCGTTCCACCCCTCCCCTCTGGGCCATGCTCAGAGGAAGAGAGGAGACTACTATTGAGGCACCTCAATAAGCCCATGTGTGGTCACTGTGATTGCATGTGTGTGTCTGTGTGATTGCATGTGTGTGTGTTTGTGATTGCATGTGTGTGTGTGCATGTGGCTGGCAGGGGGGTGGTCATGGCTGCGTGCATAGGATGGCAACCCATGCTTGGAGGAGACTTTTCCAAGATTACTGTCATTGGAGGTATGTACACCTTGCATTCCTTACAGTCACTGTCTTTGGAGGTACACCTTGCATACTGTCACTGTCATTTGGAGGTAGGTACACCTTGCATTTACTGTGTTCACTGGTTCATTTGAGGTGTGTGGCGTATTCATTACATTCACTGTCGTAGGAGGCACACCCCTTGATTGCGTTTCCATCCAGTCACTGCCATTTGAGATACAATCATTGTTTTCGTTACAGTCACTGTTATCAAAGGTAGAATTTCGTGTACAATCTTGCCCTCGCCTCCTCCTCCCGCTCACCCTTGCCTATCCTGTCCCTTCTCTCTCCTCTCCCCTTCTCCCAGACATAGTCCCTGCGCAAACCATCTCGTTGTGTATGACAACGGATAACATGAAGCTCGGATGGGCTCCCTACGACTGTGAGTTCCTTTCACTGCACTGCTGCAACAGTGCTGTGAGGTGCCTCTACGGTCAGGTGGCCTTTGACTCGAGTCAAAGGCAACCATCTCGTTGTGTATGACACGGATACATGAGCTCGGACGGGCTCCATATGACTGTGAGTTCCATTGCACTTGTGCAACGTTTTTAACTTTTGAGTCTATTGAGTCTATTGAGAAGTCACCTTGTGGTGTACACACGGACAACATGAAGCTCGGATGGGCTCCATATGACTGTGAGTCCTCCGTGCACTTGTGCAGACAATGTTCAGCATTCAATAGTTTTGCTCCCTTCCTCCTTCCTTCCCTCCCTTACTTCCTTCCTCATTCTCTCCCCTCCTTCCGTCCTACCTTTCTCCCTCCCTCCCACTAAGCAAGTTGCTGCCGACAGCTGGATTACACAGTTGGGACGTTTCAAACCACAAGACCTCCACTTGTCTTTTCCTCCCTCTGCGCATCTCATCATACAGGTTCCGTGGGAACGATCACAGCCGATGGAGGGGAATACAACGTCACCATTATTGTGGAGCCATCTCTCCACGCCGCCACCGGTCAAGTCGTCCGCCTCTGCGGCTCGGCGCCCCACTTTCATGCTCTCGTTACTAGCTGCTGCGCTAACATCTGCAGTGCTTTCCTCGGCGCTGGTGGAGAGGGTTTGCTAGAAGAGAACGAGTCTTCTTTTCAGCGAGGGCCAGCAGCAGTAGCAGTAATGGAGGCATCTGGAAGCAGTGGTTTTACCGTGTCAAAGGCTTGCGCAAGTTGCACTAGCGCAAGGCCTCTCTTGTTAAGAGCTTGAGGGAGCACAGTTCACATGAACCAATGCCATGGCTATATGATGATGTGGTTAGATGGTGACGTGTACTGGCAGGTATGAAATGGCGTCATGTGTGGTGCTGTATTTCCTGTGTAGTTGCTACATGCGAGACAAATCTGCAGTCTTTGCATAGTGAAGCAGTTTAGTAGTTTGTGTCGCTTTCAAAACTCGTATTTGTGAGTCTTTCTCTCCCAAACAATCTTCCCTTATCAGTCATATCAGCTGTGTATGTGAATACATGTGGTGTAGTGAACTATTCAGCAGTTTTTGAATTAGTGGTATCATGAGAAATGACGGGAACCGTTTGCAACAGTTACTTACCCTCCATGAATTCTCCCTCCCGTTTATCGCAAACCTTTATCGAGGTCGCGTACGTTCGACCTTATCACGTATGCAAAAAAAAACTACTGGTGCTGTTTGGAGATTACCGATAGTGAACCAGGCTTGGTCCGCTCTCACAGCCTCATTGCGCGCACTAGGTCCGACATTGTAATCTTGTCAAGAAGAGCTGGAAATACTGGTGTCCTGTTTGGTGCTGATTCTTTCCATAACATCTCTTTTTTAAATCTATAGTCCAGGCTCTCTCTCGCTTCTCCGCATCTCTCCGCCATTTGCGCGCTGCAGTACCCAAGCGTATCCTCCGTCCCGCATATTTTTTCCCACATGGATGAGTCGGATTTTCTTAAAGCCCTGGCGCTTTACCCAGTAGTTCGCTCGCGTGACTACAACGAAAACGATCTCCCGGCCACCGCTGCTTCTGCTTCCTCCCACGCATCTGAATCCCAGCGCGGTAATCCCAAGCAAGTCAGTTTACTTGCAGAGGGAGTTTCCGGGCAGCAACCCGAGACAGGTGAAGCGAATCTAGGGCTTGGGGGAACGGCTCCTACTCCTTCTAGGTCGTTTTGGGAGGTGCTGCAGGAGCGAGTGGCGGCGCACTTGCCGCCGGGAGATGCGGTGGCGCTTTGCAACGCGTTGAAAGAGTTTCACGAGGAGCTTATTCAGCAGAGATTGTCGCTGGATGACATTAGGAGGATTGCTAAGCATGGGAAGCTGCTGGAAGTGAAGTGAATTTTCTGAAGTGAAGTGTTTCACGAGGAGCAGCTTATCAAGCAGAGATTGTAACTCGATGACATTAGGAGGATTGCTAAGCATGGGAAGCTGCTGCAAGTGAAGTGAAGATTTCATTCTTGCACAAGGATTTCTGGCTTGTTCTGGTGGACGTTACACTATTGATTTGATGGTTCCAGTATTGCATGTATGTAGGGCCCTAGATTCGTTTTGGGCCAGGCTGATCCATCAACCTCGGTACAGAAAAAACACTATCAGCGTTACCTGGGAAAAAATCCTGAAAATTCAGGGTTGGTACAAATAGAAAACGCTGGAACTAATAGTAAAATTTCCTTTTGAGCAGTAGTACAAAATCAGTGTAACAAGAATCACAGTTGGTTGGAGTGGCGGGCGAAGCAGGGGCTAGAGGGAGGGGCCATAGTAGCAGGTGGGCTGGGGCGGGGGGAACGAGAAAGGCACATGGGCTAGAGGGGGGGGAAAAACGGGTGAGCTGGTGGAGAGCCGAGCAGTGCCCTAGATATCAGACTTTGGAGTCTGAATCAGAGTCCGTTCAGACTTTTTTTTTGTACCTAGTCTGAACTCAAAGAATTTATTTATGTACCTTGTCTGATTTTCCAGAGTTTTTCTTATGAGTTGTCTGAAATTTCAGCCTAATTTTACTAGGGTAGGCTGAGCCTCAGACTTGTATCGGGGGTACACTCTGCGCGCTTATCGGAGCAAAGTTTCCTGGAAGTTTCCTTCCGATATGCCCACTTCCGAGATGGCAGTGGAGTGCCAGGACGTGAGCAACGCTCACTTCGACAGCTGGGACATCCAAATACACTCGTTCGTCGAGAATATCTTCCAGTTACGCTGAGGAAATGGTTGCGTGATTACGAGATTTCTGAAGACAAAATCTCGTCACATGTAAGTTATCGCTAATGTATTGTAAAGAATAGGCGACTTTGATGCTGATTCGCTGTAAAAACATCTGCAGCACGCACTGGTGTGAATTGCGAAGTTCCTGATTCGTACTGAAAGTTTCGTGTGGCACTGTCTGATCCTCATGCCACGCCAAGCAACAATTTCTGCCTGCTGCCAGCTCAGCTGCGTGGCACTTGGCCCACCTGATACAGATCGGGTGAACGATCGAATCGCTTGAAAAGCAAATCCAAAACTGACAAAATCGGCACACATGCGAGAAAATGGGTACAGAACGGTAATCACACACACACACACAAAACGAAATGAGATCAGCAGAGCAGAAACAACCATGCGCTGCACGTGACAAAAACACTGGAACGCCGCCGACATGAGCAGAGGCGATGGCGCGGATGACACGGTAGCACACGTTGCCTGATGCGTTGGTATGGTAGGCTGTAATCAGCCTCAATGCTTATTATACCTGCTTTTATATAAACTGCAAACTGAACATCTTAAAATTTGAAGTAACTCTGACAGTTCAACAAAAAAAATTGTGCTTGTCTGAATTTTCAGACTAAAATATTGAGGCACCTCTGACAGACAGAGTTCCAGGAGGGGTGTACTCTGAGGCCTCAGACTACCTCAAAAACGAATCTAGGGGGCCTGGAGCCGAGAGGAAGTGGTGGACTGGGGGAATCTCTGTGAGAGAGTAGGTAGAGTTAGGAGCCATAGCTAGGGTAAGTCCTAGCTAGGCAAGAGAAGTTTAGGCAAAAGAAGAAGAGGGGGTTCACTAGAAAGCAGCAGGATACATATAGGAAACCCTAAGGGGTTGTACTCGCTATAAGAGTACCCCACTGCAGGCTAGAGAACAATGACATTCTGACACACCACCCCCATAGCCAAATGGGGTGTAATCAGCAGAGC